TATTTTTTCTATTTATGAAGATCTGACATAAGTGTAGAAAACAGCTGGCTGAATAAGTTGGATTCCACTAGAAGATTTTTCGAAGTGAAATTAAGACAATTTATTTCCAGACAAAGGACCTTAACATGATTTTAAAAAGTTGCCAGTGAAGTATGCAGTAGGAAAAAAGCTAAGTGGAAAAAAATAAAATAAACAATAGCATAATTTTAAAATAGTTAGGGAGGGATAGAGGGGAACCGCAAGAGACGTACGGATTTAGATCAGCAGTTTTCAGCCTGTAGCCTGCAGATCTCTCTGCTCTGAGAGCTACTTCTGAGGGGTCTGTGAGAGGAGATTAGGGGAAACATGCACAGGTATGCTTGAAAAAGCTAGAGGCTGCTGAGCTGGGGAGAAAATATCTGGAAGAGTGGGATAGGAGGAAATAATGGCTATTGCATGTCTTGGGAGACCCAAGTGTTGCATGCTGCAGAAACAGGCCAGCCAGCAGAATGCTTATGCTTTGGCACTGCTGGTTGTAAAGGACGGATGTAAGCGTGGATGCCGTGCTGGGCAAATGAAGCTGTGCTGCCTGGGCATCTGAGATGCGGTACCCACATTAGTGCTGTGTCATGCTTCATCTTTTTGAAAGTAGTCTAGGGTCATCTGCTTTGTGCATTGTTGTGTGGTACAAATATGAAGATTGGAGAGCTCACCATCTTGATAACATACTCTTGAAAAAGATGCCAACAATTTAGTCTTTGTGGATGCACTGAGGTGCAGCATTCAAGGTGGTAGATTTCCTCCTGCTTCAGGGCTTCAAAACAAGATTATTTTTTTTTTATAACTAATGCCACTTTTTGGGCATGTTATGCAAGATGTCTGTCAGATGTCAGAAGATGTTCCCCTCTCCTCCTTGAGTTAGCCCCCCTTGAACTTTCTATTTTTCTTTCAGAATAGAAGAAATCTTTACAAGCACCTACTTTTGACAAATTTAACGTAACTCATGTTGACATGCTCTCTTGTTACTGTCAAACAGTCTTTTGTGAAACTGAATTAAGTTTTTATAGGGAATTGAATAGCTTCCTGCGAAGAAGGGAAAGAAGGAATCTCCCAGTATTTGAAATATGTGACAGAATACACACTGGGTTCTGTGTGTAATCAGGCTTTCATCTGTATCCTCATAGGAGTTGGAAAAAAAAAAAATTTGCAAAGAGTTTTTAAGATAAGTTCTGAACTGACATATTCTTTTGGTGATCAGAAATGAATTGTTACTTTAGATGTCTATGAAACAAGTCTCTAGTGACACTTTCAAAAGATCTTCTGTGACACAGCCTGCTTCTAAATGTGTTTCATAAGATTTACAGCTGAATTGCTCCTGCTGCATAGGAACATGAGTTTTAATTTTTTAAATGTCTTGTTGCATGTGAGCATTCAGATTGAACACTCTTCTGTGTGCTCTAAAAGTAAATGCATTAGGACTAAAAGGTCTATTGACAAAATTTTTATAATAAACTGAGCAGCAAATTCTTTATCGAAGGTCAGAGATCCTGAAGTTGCCATGTCTGTGGGGGAGAGGTTGGTTCCTTCTTAAAATAGCATCCACTGCAGAAACTCTCGGTAGAGGCAAGTCTGCAGGAAAGCAGAGCTATATGTTGGGAGACACTGGCAGAGACCAACTACGGGATGAGGCTCCGCAGCTGCAGCAGTGCTGCAGCCAGTGCTAGTGAGAACTGGGTTTGTGCACAGAGCTCCGTAGGGCAGATTGCTCTGAGTCTCGCTCAGACTTCAGATTGGTCAATCAGAGCAGAAAATTCCCTCAGAAGACAAATGGAGAGCAAAAAGATTTGGGAGAAATTATAATAGGCACTGCAGAGGCAAAGAGAAACTTCTGAGTGTGTTTGTTTTGCCTGACCACGTGTCATAAGTGGTATAACTCAGCTGAGATCTGTGGCTCAAATGAATGTGAATATAGTACCCCATCATGCTGGGTTCTCCTTGTCATCCCTGTGTAGGCAATAATCTGTAAAACTAACCTATTCATCTCATTTCTGGATGCTTTGGGTTTAAGAATTGCTGAGTTCATGGGAGAAATCTGAAGGCAAAGTTGGGTGTGGGAGACAAACGGAAGGACGTTTTCCAGGTTTGTGTCAAAGCAATAGTTCTTGCTGCATGTTTAGAGATCAATTCTGAGTTATTCCCGCTGCATATTGGACAAAGTATCAACAGCAGAATGAAAGATGCTCAGTAAAAGTTAATTGTCATCAAGCTATTTATTCAAATTACTGCCTTGGTTGTGGTGGAAATGAGTGTTTGGTACCTTGCAATACTGTTACTGTGCTCACTTTCAACATGTATCATTACAGTTTTCCTTTTCAAGAATCCTTTAGACTTGGTGCAAGGATTGGTGCCAACCTGTGTTCTGTTTTCTTGAAAGAAATTTTATCTGAATTCAGGACAGTGGTAGACCAACTTTTATTTTTGAGGTTGTCCGAAGTATAGGAGAGCTGATGGATTTCATAAAAGCTTAATAGCGATTATTTAAAACATTTTCATTCCATTCTGACTGAACTGAAATGGGAGCTTACTCAGTACAGTTAATTCTGAATGAGAGCATGATCAGGCCTTACATTCTTGAGATTTATTGTTATTATGGCTGTGACTGATGATGAGTGAATGTAGTGTAGTATAGAACTCAGCAAATCCTTCCTCTTAAGATTTTTGGGATCTCTGGAGCTTGGGAAAGTATTTTCTAATGTTTACAAAAGTTTTCTGTGAGGAAGTGGAAAATAATCTCTTTTTTTTTTAAAGGAAAAAAATATTTTTTCTACTACCCTCTCTCAAACTGGGTTTTGTTTTCTTTCACTCAGAAATGTGTATGTTTTTTGAAGAGGCCTGAACGCTGAAGACAGCAACTTAAACAAATGGGGTGTGTGATATTTAGTAGCTACCACTGTTGGTGTCTCTGGAAACTAAACTAGTGGTTTAGAAGACTAAATGTAGGCATCTAACTTTGCAAATGCTTGGGAGACATAGTGTTTATAAACAACTTTCCTATTTCCACTTAATATACCTGGCTAATAAACCCTATATTGAGATTCTTCTGTGGCCTTCATCAGGGATTATGATGAATTTAACTCCAATACAAACTTAATTTTCCAGTTCTCAACAGTGTCTGAGTTTCCATATTCAGATATTTTGGCATTGGCCTAAATATACCTGGCAATGTAAACCATGCATACAGATGAGTGTTTATATCTCTGTTTTAATGTTTATGGGTATGAATAATTTCAGTTTTAGTTCGCTTATGCTCTTTGCATGTCCAAATACTGCACAAGGAAGGAGTTTACTTGTGATTTTAAATAGTATTAAGTTCTCTCTTCAAAATAAAATTAATATCAAAGTAAAAATCTGGGCCTCCAAAACCTTGACAGAAAAGATATTCTATTTTAGATTGGTAAAATTCACTCAATTTTTATATTCTTCTGTACCTATTGAGAGAATACATACTCAGAATCCATACAGACAATATTTGAAGCTATAATTGCTCAATGAAGCTCAAATAAACAAAATTATTTCTTTTGTTGTTCAGTTTTCCTTGGTAAATTTATGTTCTATTTCTCACTTAAATTATCTGTCTTCAACTCTGAAACTGTAACAACTTCTCACTAAATGTGAACTAATGGTAAGCTGCAAAGAGCTTTTAAAAATACTTTTCAGATATTTTTTACCTATTACAATGCTTTTATATTAGAAATCAAAATCCTAGCTAACTCTTTTTTTTCAACTCTTCTGAAAGAATTATGACAATTTCCCAGACAGGCGAATGGCCACTTCCAGCCACGAGGTTATCAGACGTAGAGTCAGACTGGATAAGAGTTCGAAAGGGTTTGTTCTTAGTTTAAGTGGGGGCAAAGGCAGAGTGGAGTTTAAGCACAGTCTAAGCATCTGCTTTGTCTTAAGGTGCAGAATAGAAAAGCTGATGGTCACATTCATATTGTCACCGCTCAATTTTTGCGAGAATTCTTTAAGTGACAAAATAGTTGGGGGAAGGAAAGAAAGGGTGAGTATGTGTGATGTCTGTTAGTTTTAAGAAGGAAGAAAAACTGCTTCTTCAGAAAACTGAAGTGACAAACTCTGAATTTATCCTTAGTATATCAAAAAGAGCAGTGAAGGATCAGGATCACAGTTTTTCCATAACGATTCTTTCATTTGATAGCTTTTGCATTCACTTTTTTTCCTACTAAATTTAAGGCCGATGAATGGCTAGATCTTCCAATTCCTTGTCATGTTTCTAGGCTCCTCATTTTGGTATTTCTTCCAGCGTTCAAGCAGTCTTCATTCTTACCTGGTAACTGTTCGCTCTCTTTCCTTACTACTCTCTATTTCAGAAAACATCTCCTGTTGTGTACTTTCTTTTCTCCACTTCTTCTGCTTCTCCTGGTCCTGTTGCTTAACAATGTGTTGAGAACGTGGGTAAAAATCTAAATTTCAATTCAATATTTTAATGAACATTAGTACAGTAATTTTTTTGGTTTTTAAAGTATAGGCCTGCTTTAGTATAACATCTTCACAAGAGTATGCTTTTTTCTGTCGCTGCAAATGTTGACTTGCAATGGCATTTGTAAATAGTAATTCCGTTGTCTAGTAGAAAGGAAACGATGGAAGTTGTTTATAGTAACATCTACTTTTTGCTTATAGTTGTAGGTTGGCTTTTTCAGTAGCAGGTAGTGTATGTATAATTTGTAACACAAACTCATATTTAGGAAGAGCAGAAAAAGGAGGAAAATATTGCATGCAGTCTACAGTTTGTGCTAACTTGAGGAGCAAAACAGTGTTGTGCATTATCTACATTTTGTGTTAACCTTCTTTTTTACACTGGCTATTTACATAGTCTGTCTTGTGCTGATCATGATGATCCTCGTTACAGGCAGATGCAACGAAAGCCAGAAGCACCCGCAGTCACTTATGCAACATACCGAGGTTCTGCAAGGATTAGGCAATTACTGAAGAATCAATTAGAAATGGCTGAAAAAGGAGAAGAAAGTACTGAGAACAGATATGCTTCAATGGTCAAAGAAAATGGAGAAATCCAAACAACTGTCTCTCCGAAATCAGGACACTTAATAAAAGAAAATGGAGAAAATGCGGGTAAAGATCATGAAGATGGTGTCATAGTAAATTCTTCTGCACCTAAAATGGAAACAAAAAAGTCTGATAAAGCTCAGCATTGCTTGAGTAGCAGTAAACATAAAATAACTGCAAAGGCCACAACGTCGTCTACTGAATCATCTCATGAGATAGACTTAAAACATACGCTTGGTTTAGCTGGAACAAAAGTTAAAAGGACGTATTCACTAGATTCATTATTATCATCTAGTAATAGGACCAGTGAGATACTAACCAATTCTACTTCCCAGTTTACCAGTTCCCGTGAAATGAGTTCTGCAAATGATTTGGCTGGAAAAGAAGTTGGACTGGTGGGAGAAGCAGAACTTCTGCTTCAGGCAGAGCAAAATGCCACTTCTAACTTTGAAAAAGATAATCATTGTAGTATAGCAGCTAGTAAGGAGCCCACAAAAGAAACGCAGGATGATTGTTTACATTCACCCAAATCAAAAAATAAGACAGTTAATGAAGAACTACAAGTTAGTAAGGGAGAACATTGCTATAATCATCAAATAGGTAGTCACTCACAGCTAACATCAGATGTCCAGATGCTTCATTCCAGTACCACTACGTTTCAGCAGCAAGCAGATCAGCATACAGGTAGTGCAAATAAAGAGAGTGATCCAAGAAAAAGTGATACACAGAAAATTGTGGCAGCTATAGGAAGAGAGCAAAATCCACAGAACTTTCTTGCTACTACTTTTTTACCTTTTAATGAACAAATAACCACTTCGTTTAGCATGGAGTCCAGAGGAGAAAAATGCATAGCTGCAGGTAATCTAACTGCTTCAGTGTCATCTACTAAAAACTATGAATATCTAATCATGGGCAGAGAGACTTGTAACAAAGAACTGAGTGAGTTAGGGAAACCAATATGTGTACAAAATGATGACCAGTTAATCCTTGTGGAGAACTCCAAGGATACTGCCACACCACAGACTGGTTTACCTTGTCTGGAAACTGAGAGTGTGGAAACAACAGAGATTTTACCTGAGGTTGCAGTGGAAAACCTTGCCGATGTGTTGTCATGCATACATGAGTGCGAGAGCGTGAAATCTGACTTCGATGAGCTGACAGCACCTCTCTCTGTTACTTACAAGTCTGCTTTTGAAACTGGAGGCTGTTGCTCAGCTTCTCTTCATCCTAGTTGCAAGACCAAAAATAAAACTATAGGGAAAAGAGAAGTCGGTTTACAAGATGTGAGAGAGAGTGTTTCTCATCCTGATCTTGAATGTGAGAAGAACAAATGCTTTGAGCCTGTAGAAGTGAGCCTCTCGGAAAGCTCAGTTCCTGCCCACAACTGCGGTCCTGTTTCCCTTGAAACTGTGCAAGATATTCCAGGCAAGGCATTAGATACACTCACAGAAGGTAACACAGCAAAGCCTGCACCTTGCCCTTTAATCAACATTGACAGGACAGATGATCATACTCCTACTGCTTCTAAAATCGACAAGGCTGGTATGACTAAGGTTGCTCTTGTTCCTTCTGAGTGTCAGGATTGTGTCTCTGAACTTTCCTCTCATATTTCTAAGTCAGAAGAAAACATTCTGGATTTTTCTCATCCTGCCTTGAGATGTGGAGAAGGACCTTTGACCAACCATTCTGCCTTCATCTTTGAAAAAGATGTTGATGTAGACATAATTTCTGAATCTCCACCTGTTCCTGAAGATAAACATATTAATTCTTCCAAGAAGAAAAACGGTAATAAGCCTAGGATATCACCCACGGCACTTGGTTCTTCATCTGACAACCAAGGAAAAATGCCTTTTCCTGCCGCTAACTCTGAAAACGGCCAGATTGCTAGATGGTCATCTGCTTCTGAACACGACAGCTTTATTTTTCCAGCTACTGAGTTTAGAAGAATAATCCCTGAGGACAGCATGACCAAGGTGCCACTTTGCTTAGCAGACCCGAGAGCTTCATGCCCAGCTGGTTCTCTGGAACCTGAGCTTATTCCAACTATGCTTGATCATTCTGCTGCAGGAGTAGATATAGGGGGTGTTTGCATCCCCGGGCCCTCTTCACCTAGTCTGGGATCCGGAGAAGCCTCCAACCTTTCTGCCTTGGAAACATTGAGCATTGTTCAGGGGAACAGTAATTCCTCCAGTCACAGAGCTGGTGATGGGGCAGAGGAAGTCTCTTCACAACAGGATGACAGCGGTGTCTTGGCAGAGGCAATGCTGTCACCCATCTGTCCTTGGAAATCTTTGGAAACAACATCCGAGGCAGCCTGTACTGACAGCGTGTGCAGAAATGCTGTGGAGCAGGTGAATCATCGTAACCATACTTCTGCTATCTCAGAAGCCCCTTCTGCGACAGATGATCGAACAGCTGCTGCATCTGCAGAGTCAAATGAGCTCTGTTCTGAGGAGGTATGGGAAGATACCAATGTGGAGGGACAAGAACATGCTAAATTCCAAGATGCTGCTGTTTTGTTTAAAAAAGCTGAGGAAATAGTGGACTCAGTTTTACATTTGGCTGTAGAAGAAATAATAGCAAAACAAGTCATTGGTGTCTGCCAGCTTTGTGGGAGCAAGGATGGTTTAATAAATACAGATATTCTGAATGACCAGAAAGCTGGAACAGTACAGCTGGAAGCAGAAGAAATCCAGTCAGCTGTGCAATCATTAAAACATTTTAATGAGAGCAGTGGAGGAGACTCGTCTTCATTTACAGGAAATGAAACAGTGGATACAAATAATCACGATGAAAAGATACTCTCTTACATCCCTGATAAAATTGACCTACATAGTGCACTAGCACTAAAAGCGAAAGAAATAATTGATGAAGTCATTAACTCAGCCAAACAAAAACTGGCATCCAATCAGTGGCAAGGCAGTGAGGGTAAAAGGCCTTCTGAAAAAGTTGAGTCTAAACCCAAGGCTGAAACTCCAGAGATTTTAAGCCTGGATATGAAGTTACCTACCAAAACACGTGAACCAACACAGAACGCGGAAGCTGGGAATGTAGCTGTAAACTGTGAAAAGGCAGATTGCTCAGATCCTCCTTTACTTCCAGATAGTGTGGAAAATGGCATAGATTGGCCCCACAGAGGTGAAAAGATACCAGATAATGCATTTACATGTCAAACAACTGTTTTTCTGCCCTCTGGTAATTCAGCAAGGCCGGAGTCAGATCTAATGGCATCAGCCAGAGAGAGAGACAATAGAAAGGTGTGTGAACATCTGGCTGCAGCAGAGATGCGTGGCAAAGCTGGAGTATCAGCAATGAGCAGAAAATCTGATGGATCTTTACATTTAATACACAGAGATGCTACAGTGACTGAAGAGATGCTTCTGTCATTGCAGTTTAAAGATTCATGCAATAATACAAATATGCCAGAGTGCACACTGCTGCCAACTGTAAATGTTAATTTGTCATCTTTTATGCCTGATGAAGAATGTATCAGCATGCAGAGTGAATCCAAAGACAAAAGCAGTCTTCGGGGTTCTCTGGAAAGCAGTGCAGAGGACAGTCTATATGAACACTGCGGAAGGGAGGCTGCAGAAGAAGTACCTGCACAAGTAAAAGGAACCTTAGGAGATTCAAAGGCAGTGCAGAGTAAAGGGGAACTAGCAGAAGGGGCAAGTGAGATAGCAGAGCTTAATACTGGGTTAGATACACAGTTCGCTGTACCTCAATTGTCTGTAATTGGAGAGGACAGTGAAGAGAAAAACTGCTTCAATGCAGCTTTTGCCCAAAATAATGAGAATCCGAAGGAGTTACAAATGAAGGATGAAGACACAGAGAGAAATTATCAGCTTGAAGAAAATGGTCTGGACTATAGCGATGACATGAAGGAATCGACAGATCTTTTGGCCTTTTCTCCACTAATTGAACAGTGGGAAAACAATTCTTTTACTATAATTTATGAAGGTGCCCTTCAAACGGAGAACAAATCTGTCTCAACTGATGATATGCAAACTGGTTCACTTTCTTCTGTTCTGCCTTCGGATAACATAGATCATCTAATGTGTGAAAGAGCAAAGAATAAACATGAGCCAGGCTGTCTTTATGGGAAGGATAACAAGGTGAATGAAGCAACAGATAGCCGTAGCTCAGAGTCATTTCTGAGTGTGGAGGCCAAGCGCTGTAGAGTATATCCTTTCTCTTTGTCTCCCATATACGAAGACGACAGCTCCCAAGAAGACCTGCTTTCCACAGGCGTGTCGCCAGAAGGCCGTCCTAGTGGAATATCCAAAGATAACACTGACCACGCTTCTGTGCTGTCCCTTCTCCAGTCAGTTTCTGAGCGCTTACAGTTTACTACTCGGTTCAGTAAAGAGGATGAGGAGGACATGATGGAGGACGAGGAGGAGGAAGAATCATCATATGAAGAAAATATGCTTGATTTTGAGAGAGAAGAAGAATGTCTTTCCAGTCAGTGGAGAGGGAATTTAGAAACAACCCTTCAATCAAACGACCACACTAGATCTTTGTTTCCTGAACAATCAACTCTTCTTTCCAAAGAAGAATTTGACTCTAAGGAGCAACCAGAACTGTTTCCGGAGGCGGCTTCTCCCAGTCAAACACCTGGTAAGCCAGTTTCACAGAAAGCTGATGGTGCTCTAAAGCGTCCTCCTACAAGTGTGTACTACCAGTATTTGAAATCTGCCAGCAATTGCTCCTCTGAGAAGGGGACCAGGTTTGGAAGCATTTTCCAGGATATGCTGCAGCCAAAGCTTCATTGGTCTCAAGACAACACCATGCCAAAACTGGGAGAATTGTCAGCGGTAAGATGTTGTGTCACATAATACTAATAATGAAAGTGATTAGCCCATATTCAAAGTTGCTGTCTCGCTATTCTCCTTCCTCCCTTTTTAACGTTAATTCTTTCATCATAAATGAGAGTAATTAGACTGTTTAAGATCATAGTTTAAAAAAACAAACAATTTTTCTGGTAATATAATTTTAAAACTATAGAATTCTTGGTTCAGCACACAGAAGTCACTTAATTGTAAACCAGAAGATGGGAACAGAAAATATAATAGGATATATAGAAAATATAATACATAGTAGCAAGTCTGTATAATTAGCAAAACACAGACTTGTCCACGTTAAGGACATTTCAACCTGAAAATGATGGAATTGCCTTTGTATGAAAATTATTATTTAATTTCTTCCACTTTTGAGATTAGTAGAGCTGATTGTCCAAAAAATATAAATGCCTGCTTACTAGGCTATTTGATTATTTCATCACAGTGTCTTCTACAAGTCATAGCTCAGTTAGCAAGTAAGTAATACGGCTGCTTCTGTAGTTTATAATTTCTTTTTTAGTTTATTTAAAACAATAGCAAATGAGGGTATGGAAACGGGTCTTCCAATATTGAGAAACTGAAAAGGCCACACAGACCAAATGCATAACTGAAGAATAGAGTCTTTCCATGATGTTGGGAATATTTCAGTCTGTGTTAGAGGTCTGTTTTGTTTTTGCCACTGTTAAGACATGCAGTTTATTGTTTGCTGGGAAAGGGTAATACATTTCCAGAAGTTATAACTTCCATTACTTCCATAGTTCTTCCTTTCTAGCACTTGCTGCTTTCTGCTGATTGTTTGATTCCGTTGAACTATTTACACCAACTCTGAACAATGGTGAAACAAATCTTGATTGTTTCTGCTAGTGACAGTTGCATACATTTGTAGGAATAATGGACCCAGAATAACCTATCTATGCCTTGTGCTACTGTTGTAGGTGTTAATAGTTATTTTCCATGTCCTTTTTATTTCAGAACCTCATTGACAGAGCAAGCCTCAAGTACAATCCAAGACCAGGAAAGGTAAGCAGAATTTGTGTCACATAGATCAATATGATACATAGAATAATTTGTTTTATCAAAATTTTTGAATGGAAAACATCTGAAGTTGTTAGTCTAGTTTTCTGTATTTTAATAGTGCATACGCTTGCGCATGCTAATAATGAGATTATGTCATTAAAAAATCCTGCCACTAGTAATGTTACTGTATTCCTGTTGGCAACTGGCTGTTTTAGTTCAGTTGAGTGTTTCGTAAAAGAAGAAAATGTGTAGCATATCAGTTGCGTGGGCACAATGTGAAATAGGTTTTATTCCAAGCAAAAAATAACAGTCTACGCTGTATGTCGAAATATCATTCGTATGCGTTGTGTGTTGTTTCAGATTATTATTTATGATATTTATGGCGACAAAAGTAAACAAGAAGTTCATTCTGATGTGCTAGATACCATGTCCTGGATCTTTCCCATTGGAGCATTACTTAGGATAATTAGAGGATGGTAAGAAATCCAGGTCATATTTAAATAGAGTCTTTTCAAAAGACAGTATGTTTGTTTCTCTTGTGTTTTCATTTCTTTTATTTACGACACATGTCTGATCTGCAAGAGTGTCTTTTTCTTTCTTTATAATTAGACTGATACCAATGAAAAAAACATGAAACAAGGCTTCAAATGCTGCAGTACAAATCAAAAAAAAAATGTTTCTCCTGGGAGCTAGCTTCAAACAGAAAGTTTCTAATAGAACCACAAGTAAGTTTAGACTTCTTGCCTGAAGTGCTGAGACAGTACAGCCATAATCATCACTAGAAGCATGTGTATGCCAAAGAAAATGTTTTTTACAGTTCAGTTTCATTATACAGTAGCTGTTGAAAAAGGACCATAAAATGAACAATCTCAGCTGCTGTTTGTAATGTAGCATGTAGAGGAATGTGGATGCAGAAGGGTATACAAGTGCCTTTAAGGAGGATTTTGCAAGTGTTTCTCAGTTTGCTTTGGGAAGCTGGGGCTGGGACCATGTCAGTTGTTGCATTGGAATTTAATTGGTGGCGCTTACAGTGAATGTTTCTGACTGTCAGCCATAGTAACAATGCATGTCACGTTTATGCAGTTTTGAGGCAGCCTTGTTTGGTTTTGCATACATGTCTTTCACGGCCTAAGAAATTTGGAATGTCATTATTTAGTATGTATATGTTTTATGCCTTGCATAGCATCTGCCTGAACAGGACCTGTTTTGATGTGTCAATTAATATATTTGTTCTGGTAAAATACAAGTTAAACTGTGAATAAAAAGCCTTATTTTTATACAGTTAATATTTTAAGTTGTATTAGGTTACGTCCTGGAGGAGAACTGTGTATTTTACTTCTAAAGCACAGAAGTACAAGCCTGTATTTATCTAAAGTGAACGTGACTACTGAGGGACAGAGTAAGAGAGACTTGATAAGAAGAGCTCATTACTGAGCTTTCCAGCAAATGTGCTATGTAAGGACAGTCTTACCTAACAGCAACAACTCACTTCATAATATCATTATTACAGTTGGATTTTTTATGAGAAACCAAAGTTCCAGGGTCGAAAATACGTACTAGAAGAAGGAGAGACTGTGCTGGATCACCTTTGGGATCTTCCCGGCGTGAAACATCGTCGAAGAAACCTCACAGTTGGTTCAATCAAACATGTAACAAAGGTATAGACTTTGTTAATATACACTCACGTACATAATTAATTTCTGTTGGCAGTAGTGGTATATTACTAACGATGAAATATATGTGTATGCTGTGTTTCTGATTTGATTCAAATATGCTACGAGTCACGTTTTTCACCTTCAAGATAAATTCCAGAGCTTTTGCTGCGCTAAATTTCCCTTTCTTCCTGAAGGTAATGAGCAGATGGATTATCTTTCTTTGCTGTCACCTTTATTTGACACAGTGACTCGCCTCCTTTTGGATGTTTGCCTGTCCAGTAATCGAAGTTAAATGGAATCAATTCGTATTTTTCAAATAAGCATTTATCTTAAGCTTAAACTATATACTGTGTCTGTATGGCTTCTGTTTCAGAAGTTAGTAGTTGGGATTCCAATCTCATTCGTACAGTGTAGCCTCCAAAAATTACTGTCGCTCTCTCTACAGCTTTGTGCCCTCTGTAGGGGTTCTGTGTGGACAAGTGGTACACCTACAGCATCTAGCTCTTCATACAGCCAGAAGTTTAAAAGGCCTTTTGTTGAAGAGATAAGAATCAAATGCCTAAAACTAAATATAATACATCCATTGTTATTCCGTGAATGAGGAGCGTATTTACCAGATCTTGTGATTTAAGACGACTTAGTGTTTAGCATAACATTCCAGTTGTTCACAGAGCAACGGCCCTTTGCTACAAGTGAATTAAAATTTGTATTGCAATGTGAAAGTTTTTCAGAAAAAGTGGTATTTATTCTCTGAACCTAGAGAGGCATAATGTCATAACAATTAGAAATACTTTTTCATTCTCTTGAAGACTTAACAATAAATAAATAAATGCAAAAGAGGCATTTACTGGAGCTAACAAATTAAAAGTACTTCAACAATATGGAATATTGATCAATAATGTGGAAGGCAGCTAAATAATTAAAGAAATACCACAGTAACATGTGGAACTATGGTTGGAAGCTGAGTGTGCCTTTGGGGGTGTCTTGGGTATCAAAGAAAACCCTTGGCTAGGAAAGACACTGTGGTTAACTTCATCATGGTTGATAAAAATCTTTGTAATACAGCTAAGTAGGTTTGAGCCTCATTCTTCTTCCAGTACGTGGTTCATTTGTATGGAACACAGATGGAAAGCTTTGTTACAGTACACTAGTTCAGTAACCAACACTGTTTCTCATGTAACTTAAACCTCTAGCAGATACAGTTGATTGGGAGGACTTTCGCTGTTGGAAGGGCTCTATGGAGCTAGCGTGGCTGTGGAACTCACTAAACCAGGTTTTGTCCTCTGAACCTTGGTTCGTGAAAGCATCCTTCTTTTTTAGGTTGTACTTCAGCTGCTGTGGAACTACTTTTAGAAAGCAGTTTGCCACCTAACTTTTTTTTTTAATATAAGCATGTTTTTTTAATGACAAATAGCTATTTGTTTTCCAGGTAGCTTGTATGTATGTGATCTGCAGGATCACAGGTTTAACTGTCATTATCTTTTTCATAGGCTAGATGGCTCAGTGGCTTTTCTCCTGCCTAGTTTGGTCACACCAGCAGTGTCCAGGCTGTCTGGCTTGTCTTCTGATTCTTTGAGTGGCTTTTTATGGTGCTTGTTTAATGGCTGTTCGGATGCATTCAGTTAGCAGATTTGCAAACTGTCTAAATATTTGAGAAGAAAATGACGTGCCTAGAAGAGAAAAACAGATGTTTACTAAAGAAACTGTAGGAGGTACATTTTAATACTATTTTTATTTTTTACTGGCAGATATTAGTTTGCTGAGAAACAGTCTGCCAGTAGCTTTGTGCTCTGATGGCTTCAAGGCTCCACAAAAAGCAAAGGTTCTGTTAGCTTTGTGGTTAGCCTGTGGCTTGACTTACTGTGGATACGTGTTAAGATGTATCCATGTGTGTTTAATTTGAAGGAACTTAGGAGGGGGAAAAACAGATCCCAAAGGAACAGATCATGCAACTAGTAAAATGAAGACCTATTTGAAATAATGGAGAGTCTGAATTCCATTAAAGCAAGTCAACATGAGCCTAGGCTAGCAAAATCTCAAAATCTGCTTGCACACACAGGTTCAATTCAGTGCCCGCAGCACAAGCCACTTAGCCGAGTCAGTTCTCTGGTCTTCTGCAAATCCGTATGACGATCTTATGGAATTGGAGGGCTTTTTCTGTCTGTTTTGGAAGCCCAAAGAGGGTACTAAATGTTACTTTCCCAAAAACAAGAGCTGAGAAACGTTGCTGATGTGTTCTCTTCTGGAGTAATCTTGTCAGCTGGCAAAACAGTGGTTTACAAGAGATCTGAAACAGCAGTTTATAATCTCTGTCTGCAAGATGGTTAGGCAGGGAATAACTGGATTCCTTGTGGACTCTCCTTAAGCAAAGCTCTTTGTAATGGGAATGTTCACAGTATTACGTGAAGGGTGTGTTTCTTTTGTTTGTGTGGTTTGTTAGGTGAAGAGAAGTTATTAATTCAAGCAGGGACTACTTTGTCATAGCTTCAAACCAGCAGCTTCAGATTGTCTCATTTACTAGTTGGTATTTACAGGGCAGTAATCATCAATTTCTTTAGTATCATTTTATTTTACTACCAGCCCAGTTGAGTTCTGTAGTTTGGTGGCGATGGATGGTAGCAAGAGTTGTACAGAGCAGAAGAACTGGGAGAAAGAATCATGAATGGATAAAAAAGGCCGAAGGACCAACAGAGAGTAGGATTTAAAATAAAAAATGCTGCAGAAGCTGACGTGTCCTAAGGACAAACTGTGTATCAAAAGTAAGATGTGTGTCTAAACTGTATTAAAAAGCAATCGTATGAATACCAGAACTAATTAGGCTTGGTTATCAATAGACTCTTCTCTCATTATTGTTTTGGCATTTAGCTTAAGAAGCCAGGCTTTAGTCATTGCTTGTCCTGTTGTTGACATAAAATGCCTCATTTAAATAGGCTATTTTGATCATTTCAGTCACCACAGCTTACAGCTGCGAGGAGAAGACCTAACAGTGCTGAAATCACTTAGCCCTGCTGGTGCTGTTAAGGCTGTAGCCCTAGATCTGGAAGAAGGATAGACCGCCAAGACCACCTTGAGGAAGTTGAAGGCTCTGAGTCTCTCACTTACGGTGGAGTTCTTGGTCAGACTAGGAGAATGTCAGAGATGCCACTGAAGAGTAATATTTAATGCTTAAGGTCTTGAGGGTCATCTTAACTCTCTTCAGAAGAAGCCTTAACCTTTCTGCTGAGGGGCATGTTGCTGTTTTGGAAGTGTCTGTTCTTTGCCAGGTAGCAACAGTACTCCCCATGTTTTTGTAAACATCTCTGCTCCCAGAAGATGATGAGGGAAGCACAGGCACTCCAGGATGACTGTGTGGAGGTAGGAGGAAAGTACCACAGAGTAAAGGAAGACAGAGTGGGTTGCCTGGAGGCTGTGACCTATCTCAGCATTTGCTGGTTGTGTATTATGATTGGAAATGAATGCAACTACTTAATCTGTTTGCTGTGCTTTTTATTATGTTTTTGCCTGACATGTCAGTAGGATAATGCATATGGCATGAGTTTTGACTGCTTGTGATGGGGAGGCAGGGCCAGGGGTGTACAGGGAGAAAACTTTCCAGTTTGGGATCTGGCCTCAAACACTGTGGTAATAGTTTTGCGTGGTAATAGTTTCGCATGTGGGTGTCTTATGTGAAAATCTTGACACCTTGCAAATGAAAGGGCTCCGCACTGAAGGATCTAGTTCTCAGCCTGAATGCTATCGTATTTGTGTGGTTTTAATTTTGTTTCTAAGGATGGTGACCTTATTAGGAATCTTAAAGAAGCCTCTGAAACTAACGATGCCTATTAAATATGCTCAGGCAAATATGAATGTGCTAGGTCAAATATTTACCAAGCTAAAGTTTACATGCTTAAATTACATAAATTAATGTCATAGTACTTGAGTGTACATTTGCAAATACGTAGTGTTCACCTCATACAGTAATACAAAACTTTACCATTTTCTGCAGTCTGTGAATGAATATATGTAAATTGAACTCAATATTTAAGTCAAAATGTATGTTTCTGATTTTTAAAAAATGTGCTTAGAGAATGTAATGTACTTCTTGCTCCAACATGTTATTACCTTTAAAAATAGATATTTGAATTGCTTTTGACGAAGACCTCAGTTTACTGTGTGACGCTTTTTGAAAGAACTTTGTAGACTTAATCTAGTGTGCACAAAAATACCATTGCAATGAGTAGAGGTTTTTTTATGACTGCCAAAATCTGGCTGGAGAGACATGGTGATAAACAGGAGAGATTTTATTATGAGTGCTTGTGCTTTGTCTGCCCTTTGGAGGACTGCTACACTCTTCGTCTGTTGAGGTGGAGCCTACCTCGTGAGCTTCAGAGTCAGGAAAGCAAACTTGAAAAGAGAATACAGACTGGCTTTTCCTGGTCTTCAAATGGAAAACAAAACAAAACAAAAAACCCACTCCTACTGAACTAAAATTAAACATACTCCATCTCATATTCTGTCTGAGCCTACAGGCAAAGATACTTTATTTTTTCACTTGTCTAGTCTTGTAGGTACTTTGTTTCAAAATTTATCTGAAACCATTAAGAGTCTGGCATCATTATTTGTGGAATTCTTATAGGTGCAACTTCTGATTTTCTGTTTCAAGCTTTATTGTTGGATTCAAAGATTTCAGCCTTCTCACGTATCCGGTATTATTAGAAAAAAACTCAAACTCCAAATACTTCTTAACTGTGATTTAACAAGACACATATACACGTGAAAACTATCGGGAGCCTTTTTTTTTTTTTCCAACTTGTCTAGCAATACACTTGGAATTGAGGAATGGTGTTCCTTAGCACTTTGCCATAAAGTAGCATTGTACTAAAAGTCTTTTTTCCTAGTTTTTCTGGTTTTACTCATCTGAAAATAAAAATCCTAGTATTGGAGTTTTTGTTCTGAAAACAAATAATGGGCATTGTTTGCAAGATACAATGCAGAGGAAACACGATTGTGCATGAGGGCAGGTTGCCAGAACAGTATACTGTGTTACTTCAGGTCTCATGAGGATAGTGAAATAATATCCTCAGGTCCATCTGTTACAATTGCCACATTTATTGCTGACAGTTGAATAACTACTGAAAGAACTTTGCTAACCAAGTCTAGGTGGGATGTTACTGCATCATTTGAAAGCTCCACTCAAAACCTAAGTGAAAACGGAGAACAAGCAGGTTTTGTCATGAGCTGAGGTGCTGTAACTTCAACAGCTTTTATGCCTTGATGCTGGGTTTCTCTGTAAGTTCTTGTGTTTTGCCTTTTGGGTCTGGTAGGTCTGTCATGATAGGACCCTCCCTGTGTTGTCAACAAATCCAGTAACCAGGTGATTCTCTGAGAGCACCGTCAGGGAGAGATTCTCATCCCTCTTCTCTAGTGCACCTGCAAGGGGCATCTTCATCCAGCTGCACTGAGGGCTTTTGGGGTCTCTTTGTGCTGACCAAGCCCTTTGTCCTAATGCAAATGAGCCCGTGGGTCAGGAGGATAAGGGAAAGGGTGCTGTGAAGTTATCACCGAGAACTGAAGGTTTCCAGCTACAGCTGAGCAAACTGTAAGCACAAGAGCTGTCTTGCACTGTAACAGGAAGACTGTTCTGGAATGCACTGCTGAAGCAGGGCCTTATAGAAGATCCTCATTGATTCGTGACGTGTTTGAGTGCTGGGAAAGACAGTACTGGCAATGCATGTAATATAAATATTATTATTGTGATTCAATAAAATCCCTGCAAATTCTTGAGAAGATCATGTATTCAGCAAGTTTTTCTTCAGCATGGTATCTGTCAGTAGAAAGCCTTCAGTAAGGTAACAGACGTTGTTGCTCCGTAGTAGCAGAAAAATTGCTAAAGTGCCTGCATAACAAACAAATATTTTACAGTACTGTTCTTTTTCTTTCTTCATCTAAAATGCTGTAGATTTATTTAACATGACAGAAAATTGAACTCATATGGCTTGAAGCTGTAGTCAGATGCATTACAGAACCTAATTATCTCTGAGCAGGAGAAGCAGGAGTGAAGAACTAGACATTTCTAGGAAGTTTTAGTTACACATGGATCATATGTATCTGTATGTTTGTTACAGAAGCACCTTCTTTAAAAAGAAAAGTAAGCAGTATTGTATGCATGGTTTGTCTATCAGTAAATCCTGTCAGATCCTTTACCTGGAAAGTATTTAAACAGCTTTTTGAAGGTAGCCCAACAGGCATAAATGCATAGTTTTTCTTTGAAACTTAGTGGGAGCTGGAAACTTACTTCCCTTAGCTTTTCTAAAAATCCCAGTATTCATTTAAAAACCTTCCATTGTATGAAGCCTAGAGTTAGCTGAGAAGGGTCAGAAGACAGGGAAAAAGAAGGAAACGTTACCAGTCCTTCCCCCGCCGCGATGGGGCAGGCTCTGCAAGTGTGGATAAGCCTTATCTGTTGATTTGTTTCCGCAGGACTGTGGCGTTCCAGAGGTGGAGTTCTGCCTGGCAGCTGGTGGTACGGAGGGACTTCCTATCTGCATACAGAGTGCAGTTGCCAATTTGGAAGAACTGGATGTTGAGAAAAACCCTTATATAAGTGTCAAATCAGGAGTGTGAGTACTGAACCTTTTTAATAGCATTTTGCCAGCAGCTACAGGAGTAACATTATGGGATGAAAGTCAGCGATAGGAGCAATATTTGGATTTTTTTGCTACAAATCAGTTAACATACACCAGATATTCCCAGCTCTATAATTCAGCGTTGTGCTATGTGAGCTCCCAGCAGTGGAACCACATTTTTGAAGGTGTTTTTCCTCTAGTTGTTGGCAGAAGTCTTCTATAGTTCCATCTTTGAGTAGCTTTATAAATAGCAGCAGCAGCTCAGCTATAATTAGCTCTTAGTTCACTGGAGAACAGATACTGTCTCCCTAGTCACCCACCCTATTGTAACTATAACACTATGGCTGAATACTGGAAAATTAATATTACATCATCCAAGCATTCCTCAAGCTACAGCTGTATCCTGGCTTTCTGGAGAGAGGTGATGCAATATGATACAGGCCCCTCGATAGCCCAGGATTTTCCTGTATTGAGCAGAATAGTCTGTTTCCTGGGTAAATGGCCAACACTTAACAGTTCCTGAAGTTTGGGAATTCTATGCCTCTTCTCATAAGTCATTGCAGAATGACATTAGCTATTCTGTTAAAAAGAGTCTTCAGTGTGCCTTCCCTTGTGAGCCAAGCCTTCCTTCCTAGGATCTCACAATATATGTGTGAGTCGTGAGGTTATGAAGGAATTAAAAATGAAGTTTTTTTCTTAGTTTTGGTAGAACTTAGTTTAACTGCATATGGTCTGTGTGTGATTTTAACAAAGTAATTTTCCATATGGCTCAATGCCTCTTCCTCCATTCCTTATTTGGTCTGCTAACCCTGTGTCCAACTTCTACATTCAGCTTTCATCTGAGATCTTCTTAGCATTGTTGTTGCCAGTGTATTTAAATAGAGCACGGTTTTGGTGTGCTGGCAGTATGTGAAACACATTGTCTAGCTCTGATGAGTACAAAAAGAAAAATAATTTTAATAAGATCTTTGTATTTGAAATGTATCTGATGAGCTTAGTAAGTCCCTTATCCTTATTGTTATAGATGGCTTGCTTATTCAGACTTTAATTACAAGGGAGAGATGAAGGTTTTGGAAGAATGCGATTCACCATCTGAAATTCCTTCAGCAGATGTGAAATCTCTGCGTCCCTTAAAAATGGTGAGGAGTTCACGATTCCCTAATAGGTCGTGTGCCTTCCTTTTCCTACCCTTGCTCTCCCAAAGATTTTAATCTAAATGTTGCTCAGGTTCTAACAGCCTTTCAGGGTTACTCCTTATACATGTAACATTCCTCTCACACCACGTTCCGTTTGCAGTGTTGTAATGGCATGGCTTTCACTCATTCCAGGGCTTGCTGGCCTCCTGCACCTGCCTAATTAAGAACATATAGTCACAGGGAGCGCCTAATTACGTCTTGGGGAATTGCTGTTGTATTGCAACCAACACCAATTCATTAACTAAAAAAGCTCTTTGGAAGTTGTTGATTTTATTTTTTAATGGTACAGCTAGAGCCTGCTGGGGGGATAGAAGACTAGATGAGGAGTTTTTTACTGATAAACATCCAGTGGTATTCCTGTGACCACACATTGTGCAAAAATCTTGGGACATGCAGCCAATTTTTGGTTTTATAGCAGCATTTAGATCTAGATATGAAAGAGATGTGGAAGGATATAACACATAATTCTACTGTATACATAGCAAGTCTACAGAAAGAGAGTTTAAAAAACACAAAGGAGTAAGACCCAACAGCTGACTTTTTAGCCGCCCTTGGGAGGTAGGTGTCTTATTCCCCAACAGAGAAAATCCATTTGTTGTATTTGCTCTTTGACCGTAGACATGAATATGTCAGCCTATATTTTCTCTCTTCTACAGTTTCTTAGTGTCTAATCATTTCTGCTTAAGAAACTTGAAATATATACAATACAGCTTTAAAAGTTGCATTTTAAAAATTGGTCAGTGTAGATGAGTTAAAAAACACCAAGAATTTGCTTTAGAGTACTAATAGACAACAAAGAAATGTCTTACAATTTCTTAACCCCCTGCAGGCTTGTCAACACACTGATTTTGGTTTTGGGTCAGGTTTATAGTGTCTCTGGCTTTTATGAGTTATTAGAGTATTTAAACTATTTGTCAATTTGATCAACACTGAAAATGCCGAATATAATTACAAAGACTTTGTGCTCTGATAGTACTGTAAAATACGTGTCAAAGCATAACTTTCAGTTTTATATAAACACCTTTCCCCCCTCTCATCTTTTTTTTAGGGTGGACTAAAGGTACAAATGCCAATGAATGTCAAGGTAAGCACTGAGGACGCTGAGAATAAAATATGAGCATATGGGAAATATAGAACCTTTATTTAAGCTGTTTTCTTTCAGTTGGGTATGTGATGTTTGATTAAGTATTCAGTGTTTGCTGCTGAAGGAAAATGCACTAATGCTGTCGAGTCCACTTTCTTAACTAGTGTTTTGTGAGATGTTAAAGTAATAGTAGTTTGTTTTTTACATATTAGGAGAATGTGTATGTGCTATAGAAGAATTGTAAAGCTTTTACAACATAAAATTAGTTTTCCTGACTAACACATCAGTCGCTGTAATGGAAAGAGGGGTCAGGAGAGATATTTCCGTTTAACACATCAAGTTTAAAAAAGAAAAGAGAAAAGAAAGAAAAGAAAAAAAAGAAAGAAAAGAAAAGAAAGAGGAGGTGGGAAGGAAGGGGGCAGGAGTTAGGATCCTTCCTTCCTGTACCTGCTCCCATACAAGTCATGAGGTCATGAGTGAGACTGTGACCCTTCTGTGATTTGAGGAGCAGAAAGTTAATCCAGAGTTATTGCTCCTTTTCACTCCTTTTTCTAATTCTCCACAAAAATAGTAATGCTTTATGTAACTTTCAATTATACAAATACATGCAAGACTCAGGAGTGTCTCTAATAAATATTGCAATGAATATTAATACTATTAATAGCTCATCTGTGTGGTTTGGCAGATGAGGAGCCCTGAGGGTGTGTTAACTGCGGTAACTGAAATAACTTCAGCAAAGTTGAAGACAGATCTCTTGTCTACTTTTGAGGGGTCAGGCTCAGTGTGACTGGCTGTGACCAGGTAGGATTCCAGTGCAAGCAAATATACACTGCCCAGACATAGGCTTGCAGTCATATAGCTGCAGAGTGCGTTTATTTATATAGAATTGTGTGAATAGATATCCTCCTGTGGAAATGACTGCAAAGAGCCTGACAAGCTTATCTGAATCCATGTAGGGTCTCCTCAGCTTCTAGGGCACACAAGAATCAGAAGGGCTGAGGAATGCAACATTGACTTTTCTCCATAGGGGTGGCTTCTTGGAGGGGAGGAAGAAAGGTGTCTTCCACATACTATAGCAGTACACACACCCAAACTTCAAATTACTGTTCAGGGCATACTTAAGGCATTGTTCAACATAATGTTTTCTAGGTGGTAATATATGAGAAAACTCACTTTGGAGGATGGTCCAAAGAGTTTTCAGAAAACATCAGTTCTGTCCCAGCTCTGTTGGGGAGTGAAGAGGAGGTTCAGGAAGTTGGATCAATACGTGTAATTGGTGGAGTGTAAGTATGTTTCACTTTTGTACGTATTTACTTTAAAATAGGAAATCATAACTAAATGCTAAGAAGTGATAACCAAGAGGTATTTAGAATCTCTCACTGGCAAAATATTTTGCAAAGAAAGGAATATGTATTTCTCTTGTCAATTGTCAGTCTTGGATTATCTGTCATGTAAGCCATGTGGCTTATCTATCTACAGGAATATAGGAAGGTAAAATTAAGTGTATGAGAGCTGTGGTGTGATTGGTGTTTACCATTTGGATGCCAATAAACTAGGCCACTTTGTTGCTTAATGACAGCATTCATACAGAGCTTTAATTTCTGTTGCTTTATACTTCTGATAATCTCTACTTAATTTACTGAAATTACTTTAGGCAGGTGCAGTCAGTCTTTAATTTGACATTTTAATGCCTCTGAAATCTATAAACTGTTTTACTGTCTTAATGGTTTTCCTTTACCACCTGTTGTATGTTATCTGGAATTAAGAATCCACCCTTATTTTACTTGACTGAGGCCTCGGGGTGATTCTGTGTCGCCCTACCCCTCTCTCTGTCATACCCACACACGCACAAAAAGGGCTGTGTAACACAGTCCTTAGGTGGACTCCTCACGAGGCAGGCTCAGCTCCAGCTATTCTAGAGAGCTACCAACGCCACGTGTTGTTCTTTCAACCTCTCCAAGGTTCCTGTCCCAGTAGGATAGGACGGTTTAGAAGCACGCAGAATGGTTGCTTCTGCCAAAGAGCTTAGCAATAAAACAGTTTTCAGAAACTTTAGCTTTTCTTAGCGGATTTCAATGTTAATACTTCAATATAAAGATACGGTAACATACATCCTTTCAGGCTGTTGTCAGAATCTTAAAAGCACTAAATTCAAAATAAACTGATTTGTGAATACTCAAATAATCTGTTCATAAATACGTTACATATTAGCTATCTGGGAAGCCTCAAATTATTGGAAGCCAATCCTTCTGTTTGTGGCAGCTGTTATTTTTAATACTGCAGTAACTTAAACAGCCGAATTAATGTAAACCAAGTAGTGCTAAAAGTAAAGCTGTCCCTGCCTGCCAAATTTCAATGCCAACAGAATTTGTACAACAGTTTAATATTTACAAGGATGCTTTTAATATTTACAAGGGTGCTTTAATGAAAGAAATGCTTCCAAGAAAGTAAGAAGGAGCGGAAGCACTTTTTCAAATTAAGATCCAAGAGAGCTTTCAAAGTTGATGTGGCAATGCCTTTTTTAAATTGATCCTTATCTATTTGTTAAAAATACTTTAAAAAGTTTTCTCCCCTTAGTGCTAAAATATATTTACTATATAACATATTGGATATATTCAATTCACTTATCTATTCATACATATGTTTTTAGATACGAGCAGAAAACGATATAAGTGGGTGACATTTTGTTCTGCTAAAATCCATTAAGCTTGTCACCAGCTCCAGCAACAGTAGAATCTCGTCATTTATGAATGCACTGAAGAGATCTACTGCTTGGTTTTTCTCATTGACCATCAGTGGCTTACAATGTTTTGGCCGCTAGACGCGTATTAGCCTCTGTAGTACCAAATATTGGTATTGGGAATATGGCTGACTGAATATGACTGAATATGGAGGTGCATGGAGAAGCATGACACAAATTAACTGTTGTTGGAGAAAGAATCACATGGTGAGATTTCGATCCACAAAGAACTCTTCATGGGTGCCTGTTGTGATTTCAAACAAGCATTGCTTTGTTAGCTTAGTCTGTGGTGCTTATCTTAATGTTCTTAGGATGTTCTCTTCCCCTTTTATTTGTTACGGAAAATCACGTGTGCCTTGTTCTGCTTTTAGTTATTTCTCTTTCTTTTGTTGTATGGTTGCTGTAGATGGGTTGCCTATGATAAGGAACGCTACAAAGGCCATCAGTACTTGCTGGAGGAGGGAGATTATGAAGACAGACGTGCATGGGGGGGAACTAATAGTGTCCTCCTGTCTTTCCGGTTCCTTCAGGCTGTAAGTACTTCTATGAATTTAACACAAATTATGCACAGCTCTATACATAAAGAGGAAGGTTATTCTTTGTATGTGGTGCAGCTGTCTTGGTTTTAGCCATTCCATCTTTTGCCCAAGTTCACTCTCATTCTTTTCTTACTTGCTGAAATTTAGACAGCACTGTATACATTGAAAAGCAGAAGCAGGTTCTAAATAGCCTTTGTAAAGTTCATCCAAAGAATGTAGCATAGAGAATTCCTTGTCTACCTGCCATATTTTCCGAGTATCTCACTTCTAGACTTCAAGCTGTTTGAATAGAATTTTCTTAAAAGATTAACATGCATAAATGTACAGTGTAGTTCTTTATTAAAATAAAAATAGCTTTTCAACACAGCAGCTGTTGCAAGCCTTAAAACAGCATTACCCTCTGTCTCTGTAATTTTTATGCCAGAAGATTTTGGCAGCATAAATAATCATGGTGAAAAAGTCCTTGCTACTAAAACGTGTTTAGTGGAGTTAAAGATGAAATAATAATAACTATATCAGAGTCCAGTATTGGAAGCAAAGTTAGACTTTTCAGTGATGGGGAAACATGGGATTGGAACTTTTTTATCGTTTCCTTTGGGGTTTTTTTATTTGTTTGAGAGTTTAAGGATTTTTTTATTTTAATAAGAACTCTGTGAGCTTTAAATACAGCTGCAAAGATTAGCTCCTTTTGAGAATTAGATTGTTCACTCTGAGATTACTCAGTGTGGTATACTCAGATTACTCATCTCTTTATCTGAGGAGATGTGATATTCCTGAGGCAGGAATTTTGTGAAGTTTGAAGATAGGCATTTCAAGCAAACTCATTGTCTCAACAGTCATTATTTAAAATAAAATAAAATACAGTACAATACAATACAATAAAATACAGTACAATACAATACAATAAAATAAAATGTGAACCCAAAAAGGCCATACTTAAATTCACAATTTGCAGTTTTGATTTTTATGAAAGGCACCTAGGAAAAACTATATTTATAATCAGAATCTATCGTGTAACTTAAGATAGAGGAATAAACTGAGTTGAAGAAAAATGTCCTTCTCAAAATAATTTATTTTCAAGTTTCTGAGAAAAACAAGCAGGAATTTTCTTATAACTCCTCTTTTCGAATTTGCAGAATCCTCTTCAGTTACTGACTAATGTTAATTTTTTTCTTTTCAGGCTATACACAGGATACTTGAGTAACTTGAATTGATCTTTTTTTAATCATCCTTTTGGCAAATGACATAATTACAAGCTTAAAATTGTGCATGTGCCTAGCAGGGATGACCTTCCACGTATATGCATGTATTTAATTTGACTTATGCCTAGAACAGGCAGGATGCTCAAGTCTTTGACATTTTAAAACCATGTATCATTCACACTCGTATGTAACGTGTGTCATTCAAATGGGCATATAAGTACCTATCAATATGTACGTATTGATAATAAAAGCATAATTAATACCTTTCCTTGAATTGTAGCATAACTAAAGGCAATGAGCTAGTTGCCAGTAAGATGACTAATGGCACTGGCATTTTGTTGCTCGGCTTGACCAACAGATTGACCGCCTCTCTCTGATGTGCAATGCGTAGGTCAGTGTTCAGGCTTGCCATATGCTCCCTTTGTGACTTTGTATACAATACTTAAGGTCAGGATTTTAAAAACATTTTAGTGCCAAATTTGTTTTCGTGGGGACCTGGGCAGAAATCCAAAGCTAGCTCTGTGTGCTTAAGGCCCCTCCTGGCACAGCGAACACGCTAGCTCTTTCGCGTAATCTCAGAAATTCTGTCAACAGGAGTGCAGTAAAGTTCGCGATGATTTTGGGCTCTGTGGGAGCATCCCTGGATACCAGATATTTGTTGCTGTTCCCTAGAAATTCTGTTTTGGTCAGATGAATTCAAGAGTTCTTTATAGAAGATGTAAGATTTTGTGAAATGTAGCCAAGTTGTGTTATTCATATTCAGCTTAGGTAGGTAGTGGGGCTTCGTATTGACCCTGCGCTTTATACATACTTACTGGTGTGGTCCCATGTAGGGGCCAATCCAGCTAGACTTTTGTTTGTTTGTTGGTTTGGGCATGACACCAGGTGACCTTGACTGTGTTGCCTTAAAGACCAGCGCAGACCTGAAAACAATTTAGCCTGACTTACACGGCATGAAGCTAAAGCTAATGAGCCCTGTGTACCTGAGTCAGCTCCAAGCAGAGTAGCATCAAATGTCTTTGTGCCGTGCTCCCAAAGCAGGGAGCGTGGTGCGGAAGCACGTAAATGGCTCTGCAGAGAGCCAGGCTGGGTATGACATGCCTCATTAGCCTGGGTCAGTACCGGCTCTGTCGACGTGGCTTAGTGCTGTGCAAAGCTATTCAGATGCCACGAGGCTCAACATGACAGGTTCCACCAGAGCTTATTAGCACTAGGAAAATCCAGCCCGTGTTTCGATACACATACCAGTGACTGCAGTTCAGCTGAGGCATGAATTTAATTTCCTGACAAATCAGAAAGGTTCGACAGCGCACAAAAGAGGGATTGTTGCAAGTCATCCCTCCCCACCCACTGGTGAAGATGTACATGCATGTAGGCATGCTGCAAGAGCTTTCTGTTTTTGTGTGGTTTAAATATTTCTGCTGTGAACAGTCACAAGCTCTAATGTGGGGATTCGGGGAGCGTTTTGAAAGCAGAGATAGAAAGGACTTGTAGAATTGTATTTTCCAGCATATTCCCAGCTCTTATCAGCACCTATGTTGGACACACAAGAGGCAAATACAGGGCTCGTTCCTGAAGGCAGACCACAGTTCGTACTGTGTGCTGGTTTGGGGGACAGTTGCATTTGTTTCTTTTCTGCAGTGTCAAATGAGAAAACTCGTGAAGCTGGGGTTTGCCTGTGGCTGTCGTGATCAGGGAAATAGGCAAGGTTCTGAGTCTCTTCCAGTGGAGCAGAGTATGTTGCCTTTGGAGCTTGCCCGCTAATGTTTTCAAGTCTAAAATTATTTGCCTTGGTCTGAAAGTCCATTTTTAAGTATTTCTTCTGTTGCTTATTGTAAGAGAAGCTGTAGTGAAAATTCAGGGAGGAGAAAATGATGGCTGAATTTGAAACATGTTTTAAATGTAATTGCAATTCTGAGTATATTTCAGTATTTTAAATTTAGTCAAAGAAAATTATGTATGGATTTGATCTAAGTGGGTTCTCCGGAACTCTTACCAAGTCCTTGCTTTAGGACTGTTAAGGGTAGCTGGTTTTCATTGGCACTAAAACTGCACTAGTTTGAGGTTTTTTCCTAAAAAGTAGTCTGAAGCTGCAGTTGTTCATGACAGTTTTACCGGACTTGGCACTTTAATTTCTAGTGTGTACCTGAAGTAGTTGCAGCTTTTTAAATAAATGAAAGGAGATGGTTAACATAGTAGGAAAACTAGTTTTACTGCAGAATTTGTTCCATCACTTTTTAGTGTCCTGTAAACAATGCAGTGAGGTTGAACCACGTAAAGTGTTCTAAAATTGGTTTTCATTATGATTGAATCCTCTACAAAGGCATGGCATCCTCTAAGGAGCCTGTTCGGTCAGGTTCACCTGACCAAATAAATCTGGCTGTATACTTGGCCTGGCCTTAATTTCTAAGTGGTTTTTGATTGTTGTAAGTCTTTTTTTTCTCAGTGTAGCCTTCAGCATACCGCGATCTGGTTGGTAGCTTGTAGGTGCTACAGCAGCAAGTGTTTAGTGCAATAATTCCTGTGATGGTGTCCTCATATGTTTGTGAATCTGCATGGGCTCTTGTATTTGCTTGATAGCTGTTTCTTTTGTTTGCAAGACTTCCTTATGTTCAACTTACTGTAACGTAGCTGAATGGTTCAGAAACACTACATTGAATTGAATTCATGTTTTCTGTTAAAGGAAGAAAGTGAATTGATTGTTGTTTTCCATTTCCCCAAGCAGTGACTGAACTGTGTGCTTTAATTGCTAAGTGGTTAAAAAGTTGGAGATTTGAAACCCAAATTCAAATGATCTGAAGCTGTGCAAGTAATCAGGTCAAGCAACTATGCTAGCTGAAAGCGTACAGCAATGTCACACGGCTATCTAAGAGAGAACATGACTGTGTCATGCAGGATTTATTTTATAGCTATAGTGATTAGTCATACAATGGATGTGTCCAAAAACTACAAACCCCTTGTGCTGGAAAGGTGATCTTGCCCAGTCTTTTGCTCTTTGTGATTATTGCCTTGTCGCTGTGACGGGATGAGGAACGGGAGCTCGAAGTAAAAGACTACAGTCATGGTGATGCTTGGAGTAGTCATTTGTGAAGCTGTTGGAAGATCAGTGCTAAGTTCCCAACCCTTCCACCCTTCTTTCCCACAGAGACATCTTTGCACTCTGTCATCCTTATAGAGGAATGAATGGTGCTCAGGGGCAGCAAGTTCTTCCAGTCTTCAGTGGAAAACACTGAAGGCCATATCAGATTGCCAGGCTTCCAGCTAGGCACTGCGATTCCAAAATATCCTGTAAAGATCCACATGAGGGACCTGAGCCCCTTCACTGCTTTGTAAAACGCTACCTTTCAGGCTACAAAAAATGTTTTATGTTGTGAAGTGTCACTGAGCTGTGACAGTTTGTCTTCTAACTCCTGTGCTGCCTCTTAGGATTTTATAGAGTCATCAGTGGCGCTCTTTCAATCTGATGATGAAGATGGGAAAGCATTAGACATCGTCAATGAAGAAATCCCTGATTTGGAACTGGCTGGATTTGGCCCAGAGACGAGATCGATTCTTGTGAAAAGTGGAGTGTAAGTCTACTGAAATATATAGATGGAAGTATTAAGTGGGTTTGTGCACAGTTGGATTTGTGTACATCTTCTGACAGAATATATTTCATGTGGCACAGGCAGTAAACATTTGGAGGAGAACAATGTTTCTGTCAGTTTCCTTGGTAAATGGAAGAAAAAAACCGAGTCTTAATTTTCTCTGAATCTCATGCCTTGACTCAGAGCTGGGCGTTCTTGTTGCTAGAGAAAGCTCATGATGTCCCTCCAGAGGTCACATAGACTGTAGTTTCATGATACAGGAGCTTTGGCAGTAATCTGGAAGAGGGATTTTAAGTATGTTAAGAACTGGGATACGTTTTGGGACAGGTGGAGCCTGTGCAGAAAGGATGGGCTGTGCCTTATTCGTAATAAAGTCAGACTGCTGCAACTGAAAATTAAAATAGTTTTTAGAGAACTATCTAAACTAAAAGCAGGGAGTTAAACCAACAGGTGTGGAAGAGTACCTCATTGAAGCTGATACAACCTGCAGGGTGGACTTGCCTAACTTTCAGGATGCATATGTGAAGTCTGGGAGAAAAATAAACAGCATGATTGCAATAAATAAGGAAGATGGATTAGACCCCCTGCAATGTCTGTTGATGGAGATGTGCAGTATTAACTGATGGTGCAAGGACAAATCTTACAAGTGCTAGAGGCCTAAAAAATGCCATTGGGGGAACTAGATTGCAACTAAATATAGCAACTCTGATATCGCAAATGTTGCAGAGATTTGCCAGAAGGATAAGCAGAGGAGCTACCAAATCTATAGGAATTATAGAGTAGGCTATTATAGGCACAAAGATGGTACTGTACATGAAGAATGGTGTCAAGTACTAAAACATAAAATGCATTATGGAAAAAGAGCACTGTGGGATCATGGCAGTGGAAATCCAGACTTTAAGAGTAATTTTAAAAGTGTGATTTTAACATTGTCATGCCTACCCTAATGCTGATGGTGATAGGTATCAGCAACTGTTGAGTGAGACTAAAAAAGCCTCAAGCTTAGGAAAGGTGGCAATAGTGGGGGATTTGAACTGCTCAGACAGAGACTGAATATCAGTGTCTCCTGAGGATGAGACACAAGGATGAAACACTAGGACTCAGTTTGGAGAAGAGATGACTGAGTAAGGATGTAAAAAGATCTGCAAAATCCTGAAAGTGGTAGACAAACTTAATGCAGCAGCATTCGCAGAATCTTGCATGACAACAGTTGGGGGATGCTTTACAGAACTACCTGAGGGTTGCTTTAAAACAGATTTAGAGGTGGGAAACAAAAAGCTTTTCTTACAGCAGAGGCAGTGAATTTCTGAACTTTCTGCTAAAGTAGGCTGTGGTGGCAGATAGCACCAGGAGGTTTGAAAAAAGCATTGGACAAATTAATAACAAACAGATTCATAAACGAGTACTAAAAGGATTAGGAAAGGAGATGCCCTCTGATATCCCTAATGTAACAGTCCCAGGTACTGGATGACTAAGAGAGGAATGCACCACCAAAAGTGGGCAGGTTAGTGACATCTCCAACTAGCCTCCATTTCTGCCACTGCCAAGGAGCGTGAGGGCAGGGCTAGATGTACCCTCGGTCTCGCATAGTTGGGGATTTCTTCCTTCTTAAATCACAGCAGGGAAAGCAGGGTGGGAGAAGCTTGAACTGCCAACCATAACAAACTTTCGCTTTATCTCATCCTGTCAAGGCTTCCTCGTTTACTTCTCTTTCTCGCACCATTTTTCTTAAATCCAAATGGAAAAGTTGAAAGGAAGGCCTGTCTGGGGGGAAGCTGAACAGGTACAGGTTCATCTGAGCGAAATTCAAAAACTTGTCAGTTAAGTGTCTTTCCTCTGGGCTTCTAAGCAAGGCATCATCTCATGCTGAAATTAGATTAGATAGAAAGGCAGAAACCCAAAGTTGTGTTTTTGTCAAAGTAGCGTTTGCAGCGTAAAAGCAGAAGATCAAGTGTGTGACAGTTTTGCACCTCTCATTGAGTTTGATCTTTCGCTGTTTGTCAGATGGACGTATAAAGAAAACTCCAGGGATAATTGTTCTGTTTATCTCATTAGTATGTTCATCAAACTACACAGAAAAATGTGATGTTTTCAGTTTAATTTTTGTGTCATTCTGCAGGTGGGTTGCATATCAGCAGAAATATTTCTGTGGAGAACAATATGTATTGGAGAAAGGAAAATATAAATGTTTCTTTGACTGGGGAGGAACTAGTAAAATCATCATGTCAATTCGACCTATTAAGTTGGTGAGTTCCCAGAAGTCGTTAAGGGGAAAACTTAAAAGACAAGAGCATACAATAATGTTATCATGTGGGCTGTGCTGTTGAATCAATTTAATCAAGTCTGTTCAGGTTGGGACTGAAATGAACACTCTGGATCTTTCAACTTGTTGAGAAAATTGTCAGGGAAACTTCCTAAGAAGAACTTCCTTTTGGCAGCTGCATTCATGAAAAGAATAACCTGGCCTGGAAAGATTAATTTGCCTTAAAATTTATTAATTTATAATGCCTAATTGGTAATGGATATAAAAATACTTGAGAATTTATCTGACCCATATTGTTGTTGTATAATAGAGGTCTGTTTTTCTTTCTATATTTTTATGCTAAAATATTTGTAATACATATAGTGAATAAAGACAGGAAATATTTTTAATCTATTATTAAATATAAAGTAGTGCAACTTGCCCAAATAGATTAGTGCCAGAACTGTCAAAACCCTAATGCAAAACAAAGACAATCCTCAGTAATGTGTATGTAATAAGTGATACTACTGCACTGAAAACAGGAAAGGATCATTTAACCTTCTTCTGAAGGGCACATGTTGAAAGAGGTGTCCCAGTCTTCAGTTGTTTTTAATTCTTTTATTCAAGAAATAGACTCAAAATAAATACAGAGACATTTATATAGGCTCTAAGCCACATTATATGAACTAATTAATTCTGGTGCAAGTTCTTTGCGTGGAAAGGGACTGATCAGTCAGGCAGGGAGTCACGAGCTTACAGGCAGCTGGTGACAGAGGCTGGGGAAGAGAATTGTGCCAAGAGCACGGGAAGTGTGTTTTTCTCTGCTCTTGAGTTCATAATTAACAAATTTCAAGAACTCGACATGTCTTATAGGAAATTAATTGTAACTAATTTTATTTATTTATGTGCATGTATATGCATTTATTATTGCAGGAACCGCTTGGAACGAATGAGCCTCCACATTTGGTATGTTGACATTGTACACCGGTCTCTAGTACTAAACTGCACTTAATAATTGAATACAGGTAATGTCGAATGCCTTGCTTTGTTACTTCAGATGGTATCTCAGTATTATCATCTCCATACAGCAGAGCATTGACGGAGAAAACGAGCAGATGTATAAAGGTTAAGTTCGCTAATGTTTTACTTTTTCCTTTGTTCCAGAACATACCTTTTAGTATTCTGTCCTCAAAATTGCAAGCAGTTAGTAGGGTTTGAGTGACTTTGGATCTCTATTTTCCTCTTCTTTCTGTTTCTGGAAACTCACTGTCACATGCATTCATCCTTCTTTGTGGCATATATTCTTTCCATTATTTTGCATTATATCTGGTTTGTCACTATCTTGTTGAAGTATAAGGTGAAGAAGAAAGTATAAACTGCAGAAAATTCAACCTCTCTCTTTAAACTTGCAGACACATCAACAGAGGAATTTGGGTTTTTTAGTCTTGGACGTTGGTAGCTCTGCTTTTCATAGTCTCCCAATCGTGTATAACCACTCCTCTAGCAGCAGGCACCACTTGCTCCGTGCTTCCCTTTTCCTCACAGTAACATGACCTTAACTGAACACATCCTGATTATACAAAGCTGTGATTAACTTCTTATAGAATCATAGAATAGTTAGGGTTGGAAGGGACCTTAAAGACCCCCCTGCCATGGGCAGGGAAACCCTCCACTACACCAGGTTGCCCAAAGCCTCATCCAACCTGGCCTTGAACACTTCCAGGGATGGGGCATCCACAGCTTCTCTGGGCAACCTGTTCCACTGCCTCACCACCCTCAATGAAAAAAATTTCTTCCTTATATCTAATCTAAATCTCCCGTCCTTCAGTTTAAATCCATTGCCCCTTGTCCTATCACTACACGACCTTGTAAAAATTCCCTCTCCAGCTTTCCTGTAGGCCCCCTTTAAGTACTGGAAAGCTGCTATAAGATCACCCTGGAGCCTTCTCTTCTCCAGGCTGAACAGCCCCAACTCTCTCAACCTGTCTTCTTCTATGATACATTCTATTTCCCTGAAAGTCAGGTCTGACTTGGTGACAACTTATAAAGAGAAAGTGGTCCCTATAATTCACTTTTAGTCTCAAGAACAAGTTAGTGTAGGGAGTTGCACTTTTGGTCATTATCTTACAAGGTTATGTTCCATTAATGTACCTTTGTGACATCTTTCGAAACCAAAGACCTTCTCTGAGTGTGCTCGTCACCAAAGATGGTCTAGTGTCTCCCACAACATTCTGTGCCAACAGAGCTCTCCTCCCTTCCTGCGTTAGTTTGATTTCTTTTTTTTTTTTCTGTACTGCAGTGTGCTGCTAGCATGGGCGATTATCTAAGTGGTTATATCACTCTCTCTGTGACATGCTCTTAATTAAGCAAAACTGGAAAACTTTGTTTCAAGAAACATAACACTTTTTCAGACCAAAGAGACTTTAGAGCTCAATGGTTCTGTTTCAGAAAACTTAAGTATTTTGTCCTTTGGACGCAATTTTGCTGTTTCTTGCTTGGATGGGTATAATAGCTGTAAGCACATAGGAAATACATACATTGTGTTACTTAGCAGGTTGACCACACCCTTTTTTTCTCCAAGTATTCTGATTCTACGATTTTATTATTAACCCAGAACTCCAGGAAATGTTTCCTGTTTGAAGACATAATTGGTGTATTATTTGAGTCTTAGACACTGATTTCCTCCCAGACCTATTCATATGGCAGTTTGCGGCCAAATCCAAAGACTTGCAAGTACGTTCACAGTAAGGCCTTGGGAAATGATACCAGATAAAATAATCAACTCAGAGGAAACTGGTGGGATCCAAACAGTTGAAGATCATTTTCTCTCCATGTTCAACTCTTCTACTCCCAAAAACTATTATTTGAGTGATTTAATCCAGTATTGCAGACCTTTAAGATCAATTCAAACCTTTCAAGTTTCAATAAATTGCGCTTTACAGTCTTTTTATTTCTAGCGATATGTGAAAAAATCTGTGTGTGTGTATGCACACTCACTTTTAAACACTGACATGTCCTACATTGTGTTTTGCCTTTTGTGCTCTCTAATAGCAGTCTTAACGCTGTTTTTAAGAAATACTATCCTGATTTACCACAATCCTGGTTTTCATAGTATTCTGCCCTAAAGTTAGGGAAGGAAGAACGTCATTCGTATTGCTACAGTTCTTTTAGGAGGGGAAATATTTTGAGTAAGTTTATAAGGGAAAACATTTAAGGATAAGTAAAGGACAGTCTTTTGGGCAAATATGAAAAAAAAATCCCATTCAAAGTAAAATAAAAGTTTCCATGTGTGCAACAGTCTCTTAGTTTGGGACTTAAAAGCATGGTGCATACGAGCTGAAAAATCCTGAAGCATCCTTATGTTTGACCCTTGTAGAAGCCACATACCGGTTATTTTGAATGATTATATGTTCTCCCACCTTTAATAAATGTATGTCTGAGCTAAGGGAACTTTTTTCACTCTCCACAAGAGTGTGTCTTTTTTTCACTTCTGTTTTTAGTTGCTTCACAGAAAATGAAAGGCAACTAAATTTTTTTAAATCTCTCAGTAAGTCGACTGACTTTTTCCTCCTGCCAGGCTCCCTAATAAACAAAGTACATATAATGCCAGAATGCCTGAAATCACCAACTCTAAAAAGCCATTAATTTTATTTATTAAGAATAAAACTTAGTTTTGCCTGGTAAGAACAAAGCCTCTTTCAATAGCACCTGGCCTGTACAGATGATTTAGGAAGCAGAGATAATTGCCGTGATAACTTGCATTTGTATTTTAACGTGCTGTCTGTTGACCGCTTAGGAAGCGAAACCTTGTATAGTAATGTCAAACCCTGACAACGTAGAGAGAGATGCAGTTTGAGACTAATTGCAGATATGCAATGTTTTCACTGAGGAATCAGTACTTCACTCCAGCTTTTGTCAAATTAAAACCATCATCTGTTGTTAGATATGTTCTCTATAAAAATGAGTTATAGACGGTTTTTAAAAGCCTTGCCTAGCATCTGACCTATGAAAGAAAGACAGTGCGTATATATATTCCTTTATAAAGAGCTTTGACATGAGTGGTTAGAAAACGCTATATAATTACAGCTTAAGTAGATGCTTTCTGACACAGCAGTGCAATTATATTTACAGAAAAATCAGTTAACGCTTTATTCGTTGTATTGTATCTGATTTGCGTTCTCCAGTTTGCAGTTACAGCATGCAAAGCCAGGTTAAGCCTTTCTTTTTCTTTCTAACGGGAAACATACTCACTTCTTTTAAAAACATAGACTGATCTTTTCCATAAAGTCATTTGCTGATACTTGCGTTTGTCTTCTTGCTCAGTACTGGCAAAAGCACTTGATTTCTTTTCTTTGGCAGGAAGCTAGGCCAAGTTGGGGCATGAAGGGGGAAGTAGATCTTGCAACAGCCATCGTGTTTTTCTTCCATTACAGAATATGAGCTTTTCTCTTGATACAGTTGAATTTTTCATTCTTTTCCAGCCGCTCTTACAGGCTTTAAAGTGAAATTCACCTCGGTTACACAGTGGCAGCCCAGGGGTACAGAATTGTAGGTGATGTTGCTGTAGGTCATAGGCTCTATCATACTACTACTTTTTTCTTTTTTTTTTTTTTTTTCTTTTATTGCAACACTTTCAACCTTACTGCTTTTTCAGGGTAAATTGATCGCATCTTACTAGTGAGGTATGGTTCAATGTGGCTTGAAGTTCTTCACCATGACATGTAAAAACAGCTTAGCTGAAATTCAGAATTTCATGGTATATTTACCAGACTGCACTCCATTCCCCCAGAAATTCTCTTGCTAGTTCTTACATGAAAAACTACCAGCAGTCACTGTGGTCACAGAAGATGTCGAGGCACTTTTTCAACAGTAGCCCTTTATCTTTCAACCAGTGCTTCCCCATCCTGTTTTGGACACTGGATTACTGAGCTGTAGCAAGAGTTAGCTGCAGTTACTCTTTGTAGAGTACTTTTACTTTGGATGGAAGATAACATCCTCAGTACTAGCCTTCTCTTTTTCTCTGGGCCCTCTCCTGCTGCAGTTGAACTTATGCTTGATACCACTGCCTTAGCATCACTGGGAAGCATCCTGTACTGGGCCCAGAGATGATAAAACACTTGATCTTTCTAAAAGTAAAACCAGCTGTAGAAATGTAGAAGATTCCTTAAATGAAGTTCATTCTATTTATTGTATCTTTGTGAATTGAACGGATACTTCTCTTAAGAGCACAGCTGTCTCTGTTTACATTAATGATAATGTGTTCGTTTTCCTTCTAGTCATTGGTTTTGTTTTGTTTTGTTCTTGTAGCTCAAAGCTTTCAGTAATACACATTTCCAAGGAGCATGTATAGATTTCACAGCAGAAGTTTCTGATTTTACATCATTCATACCATGTTCTTTTAAGGTTCTTCGGGGATGGTAAGTCTGTTGTTTTACATGCCACCATTCTGGGTAATATGAAAATTTTTTTTAAACACTACTAAATTTCAGACAGCTGAAAGTGCATAACACATGCCCATCATATTCCATCATGTCTTAGACCCTTTGTTTTGTAATGCATCTCAGTAACTGTCGTCCTGTCATTGGTTTGGGTGGTATGCATTTTGCTTTCCCTGTGGGAAGTTGGCACAGTTACTGTGATTCTTTTTTTAACTCCAGTTAGAATTTATTCCAGATTTTGAGAACTTGGTACAGTAGAATTGTCTACATTCCACACACGTCGTTTGATTCTGGAACTGAAATTTCTGTACCACGTGATTTGATTTTTGTTGCTTTGGTTGCTTTGTCCCATAGCCTTTCAAGTCACTTCACTTTTAAGCTTAACAAGAACAAACAATTCCTTATTTCCTTAGCAAATATTAAATCTTGAACAAAACTTAATAAGCAGCTAATCTGTTTTGTTACATTATTCTTGCAGTTGGCTCCTGTATTACCAAGGGGAAATCACTGACAATCACTGTGTGCTGGAAGAAGGCCTCTATGTTGACCTCAGTTCCTGTGGCTGCCCGACTGCTACAATCAAATCCCTCAAGCCTATTCAATATGTAAGGACTTTATTGAAAAAAAAATAATGTTTTGGAACTCTTTTCCCGGTCAGATGTCTGAAGCAAGTGCTTGTGCTAAACAAATTCCCACTCGGGGAAAAGAGTGAAGTTTGTTTTCTTGGCTTATGGGGTTTTTTTGGGTTAGGAACAATTCAGGCTGCATGCATGCATGCACGTGGTCACTTGTAGGCACACGCTGTTGAGGGTTCCGGACTCAAAGTTGCTCTCTTTTGTACGAGTTGCATTGGTTGGCATTTTTCTGACTGGTCTTTATAATACAGCTCAGTGAGCTTAGTACACAGTGAGACATTGATTTTTGTCACGCTGTCTAAGCGTACGGGACTTACTTTGTTAGGCCTATAGCCAAGTTTCAGTCTTAAAGCAAAGTACACACAGAAGACATAAAAATTGAAATTGCAAGGTAGCATATACTTTCCATACTCTGTTTAATTTACTAGCTATTTTATAGAAAGATAAAAAAGGTTTTCACTTCTTAATGGCATCTCAAATCATGGGTCAATAAGGTGGTGTAATATACCATACATGCGGTCTGTGAGCTCTGTATGACATATCAGATAACCCAGTCAAAAGCTCATGTGCCATCCTCTCTCTTGGTGACTTCTGAGATATGGGGCGAGTACTTATTACACATGCATATAGTCTTCGTGTGACTTTCAGGTCACGTTGCTTGCATTACCCAAGCACACAACTTGCAGTCAAGTGACCTATTGTAACAGTAAGGTGAGACACGAGGTCCTCTACGGTCAGGAGATCGGACATTCTACTCTCCAGTACAAGGTAGATATGGCTTTTTGGATCCTGTTGTAATGCTGCACACAGGACATATACCTCTGGAGTCTTCCTGTCATTTCTGTGCCTTTGTCCCATATCTCAGTATGCTCCTATGCAAGAGCATAAAAGATGAGCTGGCCATAACACTGTCGGTAAAAGAGAAGCAAGTGACTGTTCTGTCCACTCCTCTCAAACATTGACCAACTTCTTCAAAACTCTGCCTCCTTCCCTGATCACAGAACACAAACTCGATCTATGTGATGTGTGCCCTTCAAAGTAACTCTTACGAAACTAGACTTCAAAGATTACTCAGTTCATTTTTCTTCAAGTATTAAAGTCCTTGTTTCTATTTGTGAACAGATTTTTAAAAAACAAACAACAAAAAAAAACACCAAAAGCCATGAGCATGGTGGGAAGGATGTACAACTTGAGTTTGAGACCTGGTCTTTTCACTAGGTTACATAGATACAGTGATTTCAGTGGAGCTATAGCTTCCCGCCTGCCGAGAGCCTGGTTTCCTGATGAAAGTCATCTCCTTTTCACATTAGACTTTTGGACTCTGCTCTGCTAAATCAGAGTGAAGTTTTGACATGAAATGGTAGGTCTCATCCAAATCCCCCAGCCTGTAATCTCGCAGGGAAGTAACTATGCAGTTTGGCATAGTAGGAAGCTACTGGCAGCCCTCGATTACCGAGGGCCAAGCCCTGGGAGAAGTGTGTTTGGCAGGCTGTGTGTGGGAAGCTTACGCACGTCTTCCTGTTAGTGGCTTGCACCTCTTAGTTCAGTTCCTCTCTTGCAAATAGGAGCCGTTGTACTTCACAAAATTGAGGTGCTAAACAGCGTAAACTGCTGTTGAACCACACCTGTGTTACAAATAGAAGTGCCCTCCCCGGCCCCTGGCACATTGTGTAGTCGCCCAGGGCAGCCCTCAGGGGCACTGTGTAGCACAGACGAGATGTTGAGCACGCAGCAGTTTGGTCAGTGGTCAGAAACAGCCCTAGTTAATTCTGTACATTGTCCGCAGTGCACTGTTCTTGGAACAGAGCCCTTTCTATTACAAGATGTTTCTGTTAGCTCATTCAGAGAGCAGCAAGCGTATTCCCAAGTGGAATTGTTGTATAGCTTGACTGAATTCAGTTGTGACATTGGGAACCCCTTCCATTGTTCAGCTTTAAATACCAACCCAATTTCAGACCTAAAGTATGTCAATGACTCACATGTAAGAGGGAGACTCTTTAACCCCAACACCCAGCCCCAAATGTGTGTTGTCTCCTGCTCTCCTTTAAGTGAGACGTGTTTGCTGCAAGTGTAACTGTTAGAAGGACTCTCATGTTGGAGGGAGCCGTGTGTTTCCTCACTGTGTGAGGTTTCTGCATCCCAGATGTTGACTAGAAGTAAAGGCCCATGTGTGGCACTAGCAGAGGGGGAAAACCCACACTTTTAGCAGTACAAAGGACTGAAGGCTAGCTCGCTAGCATGGTGTAGATGTGGGCCAGCTATATATTTCAGAAGGAGATTGTTTCAGCCAGTCCTGTGGAATAGAATGAATCTGGTGGAGGAAGTGGGGACACAGGATCTGGGTATCCCCTTCCTAATTTGCAAGATTATAATGATTATTAACTATATGTTACCTTGATATTGTCCAGCTGAGTGAAGTCCCAACTCGAGGCCTTCATCTGCAGAATGTATGCAAGAATAGAGATTCTTTGTTTAGGACTAACTCCAAAGAAGCTGTGAAACACAGGAGTCAGCATGGGCCACTGGCACCTGCAGGGTGTGCAGCTTGGCTGGGCATCCACTCTGATTTCTGCATCTGACTCCGAATCAAGATGTCCTCTCTGTCTGTCCGTTACGGGAACTGAAAGGAACCTCTAACAAATTTTTGCTATTGCACGTAGCAACACCTGCAGTGTAACTTTTTGAGTTTTCACTTAAAATCTGTAACAGTTTTGAGGGGCTTTTTGGATGTTGTCAGCTGCCACAAGATTTCTGGGCTCTCCATTTTGGAAGGAGAATTTGAGGACTGAAGTTACATGTTTGTAGTACTCCTTCATGGCGTGGGTGTGCTTTTGTGACCTGATGGAACAACACTCTAAGGTAACAGTGGGATTTTTGTGACTGAGTAGGGTAACAGTAATACCTTAATCTGTATGAAACAGCTAAGAACCTCTGCAAATCCTTGACAAAATATTTGCAAACAAATATAGCAAATGTTCTAAATTAAAAAAAAAAAGATGATTTTTTTTTTTTTAGGAAAGTTAACATTTGAGCTTTTAATTTGAAAATTGCCAGGAATACAGTTTGCTTGTTTAAGAGTTTAATTACATAGCAAATGAAAAATCTCATTCTAAATCACTGAGTTGGCCCAATTAAAATAGAAAAAGCCCAAAACTTTCAGAGCAACATAAAGTTCATTTATATCTGGCTCAGACTAGCGATGGTCTGATTTCTTCACTGTGATGACAGTATTGTAGGTCGGCTAGCTTTTGTTCTAACCTTTATCACTTGGAGGGATGTTCTGTCAGTTCTTTGCTGAAAAGTGAAGTTGTCATCATTTACGTATGGCATGCTACCCTCACCCTGTCTGCACGCACACTCCTCCGTTTCTCAGGAAACTCAAATTAACATGGTTCCACTTTGGTTATTTCCCCATTTATTATGCATTGGTGTCATACTGGAATTAAGCACATCTTTGCAACCAGTTTCCTCTACTGTTTGTTTGGGAAGTAACAAAGCAAAAGTTAACATATGTTCGTAAGGAGAGTGAGGAAGGTGTTCCTTTATTCCCAGGAGCCTCTTTCCCATCTTGGCTTATTCTCTGAGGCGTGTAGTACTCAATCTCTTTAGGAGATCCTACCTGTATTTTTTTCCCTGCTGTTCTATTTCATTCAAATTCAGACTGGACTGTTTTGTCTTTCTGGGAGCATTTAGGAAAAGCTGTACGTTAATGAGAGGATACAAAGAAGGAACAAAACATATCTGTACCTTGATAATGAGAAAATATTGTTCTTTTGGTTTTGGTATTCTGGGAAGAAAAACAGTGTTGCAATACTCATGTATTCATCTAGTCTGCGTATTGAATAGTGATGTGTTATGTGGCCTCTTCCCTTTGGAAAAGGGGAATGCTTCTGAAAGACTTGTGAGTCTTTTTCATGTACTGTTTTATTAGTGGGGAAGATACCCTAGAAAGTGTATCTCACAGGAACATATTTCTTTAAGTGAACTGACAGTTACACAGTAAACATTAGAAGTGTACACATCTATGTAGTAGTGATAGGAACACTGGAACTAATGTAACTTGCCTCTCGCCATCTCCTTTCATCTAAAAATCCCAAAGCACTCTTAAAGAAATGCTCGTTGCTGAAATGTACTGGTATTGTTGTGAATAGCCACTCTGCAGGCAGGTAAAACCATAGCACAGGCTAAAGGCAGCTGCATTTGCTGCAGCAGTGCAGGTATCCATGCCTGTGTCAGCAAGGACTTGCCTTTGGCATTGCCATGAATTCATGAAAAGGAAAGTGTGTGCCTTTTAGTAGGCACACGTTTGAGTAGTCTCACCTACCAGGCAAGAGAGCGGGTGAAGTCAGCTGGGCCATTTGTAGGGCCATGGTTGCTTATTGGGGCATTTGCTCAGTGTTTGTTGCTTGAAGAGGTTAATCTTTTGGGATAGAAAGCCTTACAAGATGTTCTTACAAAGGGGAGTTCAGCTCTAGTGCTCCGTTTTTTCCGGCATGTTGTTTTGTTAAACTCCCTGTAATATTTGGTGTGACTTACATGGACAGGAGTATCCAGGATTGTTGCACTGAGCAATTAGTTTTCCTTCTAAAAGCATTGATTTCAGCCCTAAAGTTAAACCAGTCTCATAGTTTCTGAAAACAAAAATGAGATCTGGGCTGTAGGTGTGCAACAGGTGTTATTTTTTATTTTCTTCGAGGCATTCCTTATTCTTGCTCTGAATGGTTGTGATAGTTCCTGTGTTTCTATATTGATTATCTTTTCGAAGTTAAATACAGGTGTTAACTAATCTCCCCAGCATTCCTGTGAGGCAAATCATGAAATCAGATACAAAAATTAATCAGTGTTTCCCAGGGCCAGGCAATGAGTCATTCTGTGTAGCTGGGACTGGACCGTGGGTGTTGCTGTTGTCCACCAGTGTGTTCCTCTCCCTCAGCCAGGCATCCTTCCCACGCTGAAGGGAGTAGCCAAGCCAGCGCAGCTTCGCTAAGGACAGTTGTAAATGATGAGTTAGCCAAGACTGAAGAATAAAATATTTTTTCCAAGGATGTTGTAATACAGCTGTGGAGGCTCCTCTAGTTAAGGCTCTGGTGAATGCTGTTTGCGTAGCAACAGGTCAGCAGGGGCGCAAAGTGAGGAAGCGTACCAACCATTACCATGGCTGGGTTACAATTGTGCTTTAGTCTCATCCCATGGATTTCCTTCTTTGGATTTATTAGGCTTTCCCATCAAAGTCTGCAAAATCTCATTTTGCAAAAAAAAGGTACGAGGGTAAGCCTTTGGGTTGAGCCCTTCTGAAAGGGCTTTGTTAGTAATAATTTTCACAAAATTCCTAATAAAAAATTGTCTGTGTGTTGTCCATAGCTAAGACTACCCTTGTTTTCATTATAAGCATGTGTACGAACTCACTGGTGTGCTTGGTTTTCAGTTGTAGCACCTTTTGGTTAGCTTCTCTGGGTCTGCACACTATGGCTTTTCAGTGGGTCAAGCACTTGAACTGCGAACAGAAGGTGTCTGAAAGGACGCTCATCTTGCACTGATCTCCAGTTAATATCAAACACTTCAGACTTGCATTGCATTTTTTTCTGAACTTGTGAAGTATAAAATTCTATGCCAAATTGTGAAAAATTTTGGTGCACAGCTGCTCTTTGTTAAAAAAAAAAGGTGGAAGTCATTGAGGGGAAAGTCTGAGCTGAGTTGAACCGTGCAAGAGATTTTTAGTGTGTTGATTTCCATGGCTTACCTTTCTGCCTCTGAAATCACACCATGGGGAGAGGAAAAAAGCTGTGTTATTTTCATGGCATCACATGCTGTGTTAGGCATAGACTACCCCACCTGTTAAGTAAAGAATATCACTGTATTTAACAGTTCACAAGGCTTCTTGTATCTTAAATGCTGTGTAAATACAGCCGTTCTTAGTCACCGGACTCTTGAATATATTAAATCTCTTCAAGTTTCTCCCTGGACAGCGGCATTAAAAAACAGGGCAAGTAAAACCTCCTGAAACTTTGTTGGTGCTAGTTTCAGCAAGGCAGTTAGTTCCTTGTTAAGATCAGGTTAAGTAATTCTTTAGTGCTTTGTCATTCTTGCAGTAGGCAAGCTTTTCCCAAAGGATGGCATTTCAGGTATTTTCCTTTAAATAACAATGAAAGGAAGCTAAGGTAACCCTGACCTGGATAAGGCAATGACTTGCCGATCCTGGGTAAATGTAGATGAGCTCATCTTTTGAAAATTGGGGCTGCGGCCACCATCTGAGGTTGTCCCCTCTTGTATTCGCTGCTCAGTTGCCCTTCCTCTGGCTCTCTGAGAGCCCCGTTCCTCCCTCGCCTGTCAGGATTGGGCCTTGGTGAAGAAAGCCGATCCTGTCAGTCTCACACTTATCTACTGGTGACTCTTCAGCCTGAAAAGGGCTGATGGTGCACCTCTGCGTTCTGCAAGGAAGAGTGGGAGCAAAATGCCTCTGTAGTAAGTGTAACAGCATAGCCTCAAACCTTGTTTTTTGCTATTGGTAGTTTCCATGGAACTATGAAAACAAAAATCACAGAAAAAAGCCAGCTCAAGTCACTGCTGCCAGCTGTTGGTGTAAAACAGTATGTATAAAGTGAGTAATAAGCTCATTGTTCTATATATGGTTATGGAAATATGAGAGCTTCAGTGCTTGAGACAGCAGCTTGTTTTATTTTTCTGTGCTTCACGTCTGTGCCAAGATGAGCAGAGTCCTCCTGAGCTCTCACTGGAAAGGTGGATTCAGTCCTTGTGATCAGTTGTATGTGTGATAGATGCAACGTCTGCTGCGTACCGACAGGCTGGGACTGAGCAACTGAACAGGGCTTTCTCAGGCCCATGAAGTCCAAACAGTCTCAACCACGTGAGAGCTAGGGTCGTTTTAATTGACTCCAACAATTTGCTGTTGTGATTCTTGGTGTATAAATGGATATGCTGGATCAGATGACTTGTCCATCTCACACAGCATCCCTGGTTCTTAACGTATTGAATATTGCAACAGCAGGATAAATTTTAGGCTTTGGCAACAATGTCTAGCAGCAAGGATGCCGAACGGTGTTTCCCATGCTTACTAAAGCACTTGTGAAAATTTTCCCTGTTGGACCTGTTCTGGACATGGCTTCTAGTCTCCACTCAGGCAAAGGCCAGTGCCAAGGGAGAAGGCTTTTGCAGACTGGATTGTGATGATACAGTCTTGCTGAGCAAATCAACCTGAGAAGTAGCTGCCTGCAGTAGGTCTGCTGATCTAGATTTCAATGTAAGCCCTTAAACACACACTGTAAATTTGACCCACCTCATCCAGCAGAAGGCAGGTGGGAAGCACTGACATTCCAAAATAAAAACATTACGGGTTTTAATCTCTTTTGTAACATTAGTTTTTTAGGAGTGCATTGAGCTTTCAAAATCTCCCCAGATAGGTGATCCCAAGCTCTTCTTTAAAACATCTCAGCAAACTCCCTGTCCATGCAGTGTTGCATGACTTACATTGTCCCTGCGCTAGTCGGCAGAGGAAACAAATTCTCTGAGGCAGGATTTGAACAACCAGCTACGTACCAAGCCCACTGATTGAGTGCCAGTAATGTCGTAAGTCCTGAATCACCATTGAGCTCTTCAGAGTCACTTCACTACAATACATGTGCCTCTTCAAACGTGAAAGTTATGTTCGCTTTATTACTTAGTGCCTATTTCAACTTAAAAGCAAGATTTTGTTTCATCTATTCCACCTGAGGCCATGTCTTTGCTGCCAAAGAAATCCTGCCTTTTGCTTGGGCTGGCTACCTCAGGGTAACATCTGGGAAGAGCAAGGTGATGTCCCTGGAGAGGCTGCTAATTGCAGCAGTTAGCCAGACCTATTCCCTCTTCCTTTACCAAATGCATCAATATATAAACTACAGGTGCTTATGATCTTGGTTACGATACGTCCCTTATGGTTTTAGGTTAAAAATGCTGAAAAATTGCACAAGTGTTCCTTATACTAAAACACAGACTTTGTGTATTTAAAGCTGTTCCCTCTGTGCTTTTCTGCTGATCTTACAGCTGCACTGCGTTTTCGTGCAAACTGATCTTTTAGTTTGCTTCCATAGGTAATCTCTCAACTGTAGAAGAGGACATTAAGTGAAAAATGTTTCAATTTTACAGGAGATTGAAGGGATTACTAATTACGCTACTTCTTCAGGTTTGTCAGAAGAAAATTAGGAATGTCTGTTAAAAACATTGAGAACTTTTTAGTTCTGATGTTTTTAACTTTTCCCAATTTGTAGATCCCTAAGATTTTTCCAGTGAACCACTGCTAATTGAAGTCTATGGACAAGGGATTTGTGATTTGCCTCACTACTTTAGATGCAATCTGCAGATCACCCTGAAAACTACTGCTGCAACCTGTTCCATCAATAAATAAATAAACGGAATTTATGAAAAGTAATCAAGGCCCCAGTGATACAGATTGGCTCAGAAAGAGATTTTTCAAATGCAGACAGAGGCCTCCCTGCGTCTCGAAGTGACTCCCTGTGTCAGTGGGGCACTCCGATGACAAAGCCACTGATAAATGCAGCACGTTTCAGCTCTGTGTGCTTTGTTGGTGGATGTACGTTTTTTTTTTTCCTTGCTGTTACATTTGCTGAGGAAGCATGATCTAACCCAAAAGCTTGTGGAATTTAAACTGAAGTGGACAAATGTGTGCATAATGGCGAGCAACTGAAGTTAGACTATTCCTAGTAAAACTTGGCTTTTTTTTCTCCTTCCCCCCCCAGGTTTTTGCCGAGCCCTCCATCAGTCTGTTTGCTCTGGAATGCTGCAAGGGCAGAGAGCTGCACTTCAATGAACCTGTCAATTCTATTTTGAATGAGGACCTTCATTTTTACACTCAGTCTGTATGGGTTAGAAGTGGATTGTAAGTATGGAAGAAATATTCTTGTCAGATTTGCGTTACTGGAGCTAATACTGAGCATGCATTTTCTCCCAATTACCGCCTTTTTTTCTTAGGATGTGTTTTACTTTCTAACTTTTATTTTGATACAATAGAAGATTCTAAAATGCAGTTGAATGCTAGACCCGCTTTTTGTTTCAGGACCCAAACTGAACAAAAACTCTGGACCGAGGGTGTATTTCCTCCTGTAAGAATTGTCCTTTTATCCCTATACAGTAATGAACAATAGAGCCTGTTCAAACCAGGAACCAAAAGTAAATAAGTTTTGATTGCTGACTTACAAAGACAGGTAGAGTAAACTTGGACTGCCTTTATTAACTGGCTGTAAAACAGCAGCCATAAAGCGCAGTGATTTAATGTAAACCACCGCCATGGTTCAGTGAAGCTTGACGCGTTGATCGGCTGCCAAACAGGCAGCAGCTTCTGAGGGAAGCTTGGGGTGAATCTAACAGCTGGAACAGTAATTTGCTTCTGTTATTAGTTTAACCCCCCTCCATGAGTGTGAATGCACACCCAGGGTCTTCTGTGAAAACCATTTTACATCTGCAGAAGCAACCTTCTGACCTCTCCCACATCTCCCCCTTTCACCTCCTGGAGACACTCCCAAGTATTCTGTCTTGGCCAGGTTTTCAGCCTCCACATCCATAGCAGCAGCAAATAACTTGCAGAGTCCCATCCTACAACTGAGACTGACTGGAAACTGCTGTTCTTCCAATGCGACAGACATTTCCTGTGTTTATTTTTAACCTTTTCCCCTCCTTTCTTACATAGACAAGGCTGTAATTTTCCTCAGAGATCTTATGGGATGACACAAAACCATGCAAAATTCGAACTAACTGGGCAAGGAATTAGTGTAGACTGTTCACGGCTTAGGTATATCTGTTGCGATTGTTACGATTGATTTTTCAAACACATCTAGTCTGTTAACCACCTAAAAGCCAAAACCCTTCTACAGCTACCTGTGATAACACTGATTGAGCGCTCATCAGCTTGGTACAAAGGTTAAGCTAATCTAGCTAGTGCTCCAAAGCACCATGGACCGTTTTCTTTCTGGAGTTTCACACAAGTATTTTCCTGAAAGGTTAGGTAAGGATTGAACCTCCCTTTCTCTGAGAGCAGTCAGTGGCGATTGACTTCAGCTGTGGGCCCATAATGACTATAAGCTTCCCCACAGAGCTTTGCCAATTCCCTATAAATTCTAGTCCCTGACATCTGTGTCACTTTTGTCCTGAGCTCTTGCTGAAAAGAGTTATCTGCTGCTGCTGTTGTCTGGAGGTGCCCCAGATGAGAGCGGCAGGCAGCTGCCCTTTGAGGCTGAAAACGGCACACGTGCATTCCCTGTGATCTGTGCTAGTTCGGAGGAGGAAAGACTGCATTTGGGAGGAACACCTGACTTATTTCTGGTGGGAGTGCGTAAATCTTCATGCCTCTGTGGAGGTTTTACGGTCTATAAAGTGTGTCCCGTTGGGGAACGTCTCTTTATGAGCTTTCTCTGCCCCCTCATCAGGGGTGTGGAACTGGAAACTAAATCACTTTGCCTATGCAGCTGGCTGTAAAGGAAGGGTGACGGCTTTGGGATCACATAGTAGAAAAGCATGGGAGAGTCAGTGCAAGTCCAGTGCCTTCCCCACCTTCCTCTTCATTTCCAAGCATCCCAGCCAGGTGAGATGGTTCCCTGTCAGGGAAGGGTCAGGGCAGACTGGCTGGGCTTTCTCTGAGCTCCTTGTGATGCTCCCTAGGAAATAGAGCTCCACAGCTTGTCTTCATCCCACACTGCAGATAGGTAGCATGAATGTTGAGGGTGGCAGGTGATTGTGGGAACTCTGTGGGATGTCCCAGAGGGTTTGTTTGCCTTATCTGTGATCAGGAGTTCAGGAAGGCGGATTTAGAGGTTTTTTTGGCTCCTTGCCCAAAACCTACTTGTCAGCTTTAGACAAATTACTAAGATTTATGGAAATATACTGATGGCCTCTTGCTGCCAGGCTTAGGTACAAGGATCCTTCCTGAGCCAACTGACCACCTCAGTGAGAAATGGCACAAGCCTGGACCATGGCTTGGCGAAGGGGGCAGGGGGCTGAGGTATTCCAAGGCGTGGGAAAGATGGCACAGCGGAGGCTGCTGGTCTGCGTGAGAGCAGACATGAGTTTTGTCTGCATCACTGAATGCCAGAAGCCCAACCTGGCTTCAGAGGGTGATTGCTGTAACAGTCCTTCCCCTCTCTGTTTCCTGTAAATGTCTGCTTTGAAACTGCATTTCAAACGAGTCTGATGCTCCAAGAACAACATTAACAGTGAAGTCTCAGTGAGTTGACAGAAAGCATCACAACAAAAGAGTCAGGAATGTGCTAGAGGTCAGGCTGCTCTGAATACCTCTTAGTCAGGAGGTAGGGACTTGAAGAAACAGGGATGCGGCCTCCTTACAAGGCAGCTCACAGCTGGCACACTTCAGCCTCCATGGAGTCCTGAGGAAGGCTGGCTGTCAGTTTCTCCAAATTATGTGCAGTGGGGAGAAGTAAATTACAGGTGCTGTGAGCACTGTTTGTGGATGTTTTCTCACTGACTTGCCAGCCCTCATGTTCTTGGCAGCTGACCTGTCAAACAGGTAACTGGGAAAACCAGTATTTGCTTTGTGTTCAGAGGAGTTAATGAGTCAGACATTTAGGATTCACTGTCTGCACAACAATGTCCTATTGATATAAACAAAACAGATCTGTGATCCTGAGGCTGCCTTTGTAAGCAGCAACGCAATATTTACTGAGCAGATGCCTGGAGAACAAGGGATCTGTACGTGCTGGTGCTTTAACTCTGTGTTGAAAGATTCAGCTGTGTCCACAGCTCAGCTATATTCACTACAGGGAAGTCTGTTACAGCAACGTATAGATTTGGAGTAAATATTGTATGTGTGTTTTCAGACAAGGGGAAGAGCTATGAAAAGCTTTAACTGTAACAAAGGGAAACATTGAACAAGATCCTCCCATAATTAATACGTACAACCAGGCAAAGCTGCAAGTAGTGCAGTACAGTGTGTGGCTTCTAGTTTCCTAATGCGTGCTGCCCACTGAAACCTGCATTATTCCCGTCTCATATTTCTGGGGAAAAATCGGGGGGAGGGGGAGGGAGTGGCATTTACACGTTTCAGGCGAACAAACACAACACAGGTCTGAATTTAGACAGAAAACAGTTAAACCACTGGAATGGACGGCGTTTTGCAGCACAGTAATAAAGGTTTCAAATTAGCACTGCTACGGAGGGGGTTGGGGGCTGTCAAGAGCACAGTCCTGAATACAAGCCTGTAGTTTAGTTTTGCTGTGGTTGACGTGTAGTCTTTTGTGTTCTGTATCCAGGTGGATTGCATACGAGGGATGTAATTTTTTAGGAAAGCAGATTCTGCTGGAACCCGGTGAGATTTCAAACTGGAATGAACACAGTGGCTGGAAAGCAATTGGCTCCCTTCGTCCTATGAAGCAGGTACTGTACCACTGTATGAGGACAATTTATTTGTTGTTTTGGACAGGGATGAGTGCACAAGCATCAGCTCTACCACTAAGTATAATGGTGAGCGTTGTACTCTTTCAGTCTTTCAGAAGGACCTACTGGATGATTACTGAAGCAGAAAATTCCTCTAGTGGCAGTTACTGAGATCTATATTAGGCTCCTAAAGGGAAATAATTCCTAGTTTCTTGGAACCAAGTTTTGTTTTTCTGAATGGCTCATTAGCATGTTCTGTAGATGCTCTATTTTTACAGTTTTGCCATATAACAATAATAATGAGAAAACCAATTCTGCATTGGCGTGTTTCGTAATTAACATAAATGGAAGCAAATTTTATTGTGCTGTAGCCTGGATTTCCAAAAGAAGCAAAGTTTCTTCAATCCCACTAGGCTTTCCCTCTCTGCCTCACCCCAAGTAACACCAATTTCAGTCTCATTCAAAGAGTCAGGTCTCAGAACCACAAAGTTCTGGGGAGCTTTGTGAAAGGTAGGTAGACAAGCAAGACCGAGATAAACGCCCCTCAGTCGAAGAAAAGCAGGAACAATTCTGCTTCTCTGCCTTTCCAAGACGCATCAGGCAATCAGCGACGCACAGAAGCTCCAAACCAGTCCAAGCACCTGTTGCCGCGTGCCCAGCCACAAAGCTGTGGGAGGGCAGTGTCCAGGCAGGCAGGAGAAGGGCAGGGGAGAGCAGCAGGGAACGTCAGCAGTAACTGCACTGGAAAAGAGTTTTTGGTAGCTCTGCTTCTCACAAGAACAACTTGTTTCCTTTTAGTGACAAATGCTGCTTTATTTTTAAACACTAGATTCAACTGGGGAAATGTTGCAGTGAATAGAAATAATCATCTTCAGTAAGATTATTATCTGCTTCCCCCCCGCCCCAATAGTTGCTAATCTAAGAAGCTGACAGGTCCCTGGAATTCTTTGGAAGTGGCAACTACCAAAGGATCCCATTTTGCCTCTGTTTTTGCAAATAATAATGAAAATTATTTGTGCTGATCTTAAAACCAGCATTCTCTTCAGCCAGCAATCTAAAGAGCTTTTGTATTTGGTAACTGGTAGCGTTATAAGGCCTACTTCAGCTGCTTTACTGGGGCTTTGGCATTTGGGGTTTACGTGATTTTTTTTTTTTTGGCTTTGTTTTGTTTTAAATCCAGCAAAGTGAGGGCTTCCTTGAGTTTGTGCGGTCACCTAGCAGTGCTTGACGCTTCTGTGCGCATGTGGTCATTTTTTTTGAGACTGGAGTGATGCTACAAACCTGCACCACTTTGTATTTCTTCCTTCTGTCTCCATTGCAAATTACAGAAATAGTCAAGTCTGCCGGTGTAAGAGGTACTGCAGGAAGAAGCGAAACATTTGAAACTCATGCAAAATGAGACACAAATTTTGCTCTGTGACTTCGTAGTACGATCTCTTCCTTGTAAATAACTGTACACTATCCTAATACACATTAGTTTGTGGATGCTTGGTGGGAGAGAGGCTGCATTGTCTATACCTTAGAGTTTGTTTTAATATGAAAAAAAAGGAGATTCAAAGCTCCCAGAAGAAAAACTATGCTTGAATTGGGTTCCAGCAGAGCTGCCCTTTATAACTCACTGCTCTTTATTTGCACCAAGAAGCAAAAGCTTGAACCTTGTAGAAGCCCTGCAAAATCTCCTTATTTTCTGAGTAAACTGAGTAAACAAGTCAGTCCCTGTTTTCTGTATATGTTCAAAAACAATGGTGTAACTCTCTGCCATATATTCCAGTTAAATGGGAGTTGAAGTTGCTGGATACGTCACTCAGTGAGTTTTGTGTCCTAATAAAAAGCTTGTGGAGTGCAGCCCTTTTGCTGGCCTTGGAATAAGTGAAATGTGCAGAAATAGAGATACTTGCATTTCACAGGAATTAGTTCTATAGACATACTTAAAAAAAAAAAAAACCAAACTTCTCTGCCATTGCTGTTTACAGCTGTCTAAGTTCTATAGACATACTTAAAAAAAAAAAAAAAACCTTCTCTGCCATTGCTGTTTACAGCTGTCTGTCTGCATGTGAAAAACACTTACAGCTGCTTTACATGCACATTTGTTTCCAACAAAAAAATTACTGAACATCCTCATCTGAAACTGGTGGGAACATATACTTTAGAAAACTGATGTAAGGTGGAGGGGAGGCATTCTCACATCAACTTCCTTAATCTCTGTCTTATAACCATCTTCCTTCCCGCTATTTCAGCCAGCAGTGTACCTCAGAGTGAAGAACCGAGCCCAAGGTAAATATTTGACAGTCGCTGGAAGCCTGGCAGATATAAGAGCAACATCAGTGTGTGCGTCCCCATACAATGGCAAGAATACCCAGATCTGGCACTACTGTCGTGGACTCTTCAAATCCAAGGTGAGTTTCCAAATGGTGGCAGTGGTTGGGTTATATCACCTCCTGTCCTTTCACCTTCCCTTCTTGCTGTCACTGTAGGGCTAGCATTAACACCAGGACAGCTTTTGGCCTCCCCCATGCATCTTAAACCAAAACTGTATAACCTCGACATCCTCATACTACGTATAGACAGATTGGATCTGTCTGCTTTGGCAAGTTGCACGACTCTTCACATCTGTCGAACAGGACTGATGTTCTTGGAAGTAGGAACCTGGTTTTGTCTAAACTCGCAAGTTTCAGTTCATACCTCTAAAGAATTTCTCTGAAAAGTAATATGTGAAGAAAGTAAGTGATTTTGTATTAATGCTGCCCTTGGTAGTCTGTTATTAATACAAAGAGCTGGTGGTTTAACATAAGAAACACCTGAATTAACAAAGACCACCACCTTTGATCAAGCAGCTGGTCAACTGCTGAATAATCTGTTCCTAGCCTGCTTGCCAGGCTTTCTGCCAACTACAGCATGATACTGCAACATGCTCAGTGCCTGAAACACAAACAAGTCAGACACAAAACTGAGGCATTGTGGCCTGCATCTCACTTCTCCCCTTGTTCCGTAGGCTAACAATGCCTGTCTGGATGTCATTGGTGGCAGAGATGTGCCTGGGGCCAAAGTCGCGCTCTGGGCAGAACATGGGAAGGACAGGCAGAAGTGGAGGCTCAATGAGGATGGAACCATCAGTTCATACCTCAGCGACCAACTGGTGCTTGATATTAAAGGTATTTTGGGAAAAAAAGAAAAAAACAACACAACAAACACCTCACATGTTTTAAGTGCGTGTTTTGAGTGATGTTAATTGCCATATTGTACTTAAGGTTAAATACTGAATCCTGTCTTTCCTATTAGGTTTATGCCCAGTTGCTTGACAGTGGGACAAGAAGCAACAGGGCAGGGGGCAACCTTACTCTTTTGATCCCAGAGGTTTATCCTGATCAGATCAGATCAACTGTTCTACTTGAGGGAGTTCAGTAGGACTGATGGCAAGAAATGCAAGTTACAGAAGACAAATGGTGAAGGAAAAGCAACCACAGAATAGGTGTGGCTCAAAAAGAGTCCAGTGCTCACTCCTTATGTTTTCAGGCTGGTTAAAATTGTCATTGCTCAAGTCCTAGTCCTTCTAATTATCCATCACAGTAGAACTACCTCACTGGAGAATGCCTGTTCCTCACACACAGTTTATTTAAGCCCTGCTGCCGGCACTAGGGAATGGTAGTGCCTGCAGTGGCTGGTTATGAGGCTGGGGGCTCTGTGGTGCTCTCTTCTCAAATTAAAGGTCTAAGTAAATTAATTAGTAGCCAGACACCCCTGCAGGGCTTACAGAGCCCAGTGACAGCACATCCCACAGGTGAAGGAATCAACCTTGTCAGTGAACGCCTTACTGGCCATTGCACATCTGACCTCTGCAGCTCAAACTTCCTGATCATGAATTCTCAGCCCTGTGATGTTGAACTAATAGAGTGTTCCTGGCTTCTGGAACTAAGGAGTTTAACTATCATTACTAATTCATGAATGGTTACTCCATTAAATGCAACTGGTAATACTGAGTTTTCAGAGTGCTGTACTGCGTAGGTTTGCAAAATACAACACTGAAGGCTGGACTGGCGAGATACCACGGGACGGCTCTTTAGAACACGTTTCTTTTAGTGGGTTTTTATTTCTGGTACTATGATAAAGAATGCACTGTCAAGAGAAATTTTAAGGACTTCCTAAGTTTGTGATTGAAATGGATATGCTACCCTAAATAATCTCACACATTTCAGGGAATCTGTGTATTTCTGCTATAGCAATATGTGCCTTAAAAATCCAGACACATAGCAGGCGCTCAGGATCCACCAAAAGCAAAATCTCTTTGGAGTTGCTGTTTCTGTGCACAAAGGTGCCTTTGAGACTCCAGTTTGTGGTACACTCTGCTTCCTCACTAATGGAGCTCCTCAGGGCCTCAGCTGACAAGTGACAGTTTGAAGGAGACAAACATACAGGGGTAGAGAAGCAGACACCAGCCCCCTACCTTGTGGAATTTCTATTTTTCAGCTTAGTCATGCTTTTTGAAGATCATAGATAGACTTTTCCGAGCATGTATTTTTAAAATTTTTCCTTCATGATTTTGTTTTCGTTTGTTTTTAAGGAGGAAATTATTATGACAAGAACCACATCATCATGAATCAGCCGATAGATGACAAACATTCACAAAAATGGGATATTGAAATATTGTGAGTAAAACCCACCACACAGATGGACCTTGTGTGGGTTATTAACACCTAGAGGGGAAAGAAAAAAGAAACAACTACTGAAGTCACACACCACTGGAACCTTAAGCAGCAACTCCTCTCTACTTTCCTTCATACCAAGCACCAACTCCAAAACCAACTGAATTTTGCACAGATTTGGAAGATGGGAGGTTGATCTGATGGCTTTCTGCAGGAAAGCTGATTCTTAAGAGGCCGCTCCTATGAAAGTCACTATTACTCTTCAGCTGAAGTATTAAAAGTAAATGCAAAAGACTAGACGTAAGTTTTGTGGGATAGGAACTGCAAGAGAGAATACGGGAAAGGTTCTTCAGAAACGTCTTCACCTTCCTCTTGAACTGATGGAAGCTCGCTGAAGAATGAATGCACTAATGAGCTTGAAAGAGGCGGAGGTGGACATCTATGTCCCAAGTAAAACTGGTCAGGCTCCAAGTGATCCTGAAGCTCAAATTATGTATCTTGCTGAAATGCAATTTACTTTATTCAAAAAGACAGCTTTGAACTGGAATTACCAGCTGAGTGTGTGAAATGAGGCAACAGAGAAGCCTGACTTTCACCCCTCAGTGTTACTTTGTCTTCACTTGTTCCAACAGTACCAAATTTTCAGATTCAGGAACCAGTTTTGCTGACCCATGTCCCTTTCCCAACCCATGAAATTGTGAGTTATGGCTGAAGATCACCTTTACCATGGAGCCATATGTGCATGGATCGAAAGAGAATAAAAGGTCCTGGGTCCGGCCAGATTTCTACAAGGGCTAGCTGCGTTTAGAGCAGAAATGATTTTAACTCCAGCTCTATTTTTTGATGTATATAGATTAATTTAATACAATGTAATTTGGTCTTAGAACCATGTCTTCCTTCAGAAAATAATTCACCCTAGTATGTATTTTCAAAGGTGCTAGCAGCCTGCACCTCAACGCTCGCTTAAAGAAGAGAGTAACCGCACGTCAGTGTTACTGTGGCTCATCAGCAGCACATACGTCTTATCCCAAAGGATGAGGACTTTGGTCCAGACCTCAGCATGCTGGTGCTTCTCTCAACTTCAGCACTATGCAGCCAGCCTACCAGCTACCACTTGAGACGTGGAGCCAAACACCTCGTTGGACGGTGGCTGCTGCAGGTGTGAAAAGCTCCTCACTCAACGCTGACACATACAGAAGGAACTGCAGACAGTCGCAGGGCTGTGAACACCCCACTGGTAACTTCATTGGATTTTCAGCATCACTAAATTAATCTACTTCATTGAAAATGTAATTATTTTTTTTTGCTTATTTGTATATTGAGGGTATGTATTTCTATAACTATTTAAAGAGCTTAGGTTAGGTAAAAAGACAGGTAACCAAAAGCTGTAACTATTCCAGTTGTGCATTCAAACAGGATTCATCCCCAAACAAGCAAAACCACGTAACTCGTTTGCCACAGAAATAAAATATATCTATGTCTATTTTTATATGAAATGGAGTTCTATATAGTACTATTTAAAAAAAAAAAAATCTACTTGCACTTACTATTTTACATTCTAAAATTATCATAAATCTGCTGTTTAAGGAACATCTTCAAACAGTATATATTTTTCCAACTAAAGCACTTGTTTAGCTTTTTGTATGTAAGTCAGTATATCAAGTCTTCTACATGTGACTTGCTTCCCATATGAAATTTTAAAAGCCTGTGTAAAAAGTTTAGTCTTTTACACCAAGAATGACTAAATCCTATTTGGTGTGTCGGTGTTACATAACAAAGTAAATCAGGCTTTTTACTTAAGAGATCTTGAATGTAAAATGCTAAGCATGTATATTTTAATTGTATAAAACTTTTTTTAGGAGGAATGTTTTGCTTGTTGATTTCTTTTTAAATAAACTAAATACAGCAATAGTTTTTAGCAGATGTCAAGCACGTTCCTGTAACCTATTTCCTTTCAAATGGGCAAAAAAGGGATAAGTACAGTGAATATATGTGACTGCTGTTACGTTAATTTGCGTATCAAACATCGATGCTCAAGGGCTAACATAACTGGACTGCTCCCATCAAAACCCACTCAAATGAGCATTGAAGACACAGATTCCCTTTACAGGCCTGGGTTACTTTCACCTTAAATTGGTGCTGGAGGAGGTAGAGGTCCAGAGGTAGCAGCACCTGAGAGGAGGAAAGGGGTTTTCTTGGCGAAAGTCTTACCCCTTTAGGAAACAACATACACTGCTTTTACTGAGCAGCTTTTGTTCTCTCAGGGCAAACAACCAGAACAAACGGGTTTTCTTGCTGGTGAACTTTACAAACGAAAAAACAAGTCAGTGTTTTTTGCCCAAAGTCCTGCAGCCTGCTCCATGTATACCTTTAGCTGTCCTCCACATCAAGACATAGAGCCAGAGGAAAGAGGATACCACAGCACTGCTGTTATACTATGAGTGACTTCATCCATCCACAGACATGGAGCTGTGGCTCCTTGGACAACAAGCAGCTTACCTTTTTTTCCCTGCTGCCCATTTTCCCAAAGCTAAGGAAAAAAAAAAGTAACATTTGGCACCAGAAAGTTGCAAAGTGTATATATATATATATTGCAATGCTTTGTTAGACAGCAATACAAACCAAAGGCTGGATGGATAAAAAAGTAATTTAATAAGCTGTTCCATCAAGATCTTGATTCTTAATGGCCAGAAATACTACTTCCAGGAGCAGCTAATTCACAAAAGCATCAAATCACTTCAATTAGACATTCAGTCCATAGTGACAGGGCAAGGTTTTCTTTCTCTTCATCCGAGATAAGGTTAAGCTCTTTAACATTAACAGTGCTGCTACTCCAAATCTGCTTCAGTGCATCCAGGTATGACAAAGGAAACCGCAGTCCATGAGTCTGCTGGGGGGAAAAAAAAAAAAATTAAAAAAATCCTTCAGCTAAGTGCAGTGTCCCTTATTGCACAACAGCGTGTTAGGCTATAGGTACTGATCAGCAAGTGTGTGCTCCCGTCGTTCCTGCACCACACTTTTCCACACACACCACACACTGAGAGCATCCTGCAAAAGATGCAGTATCATCCTGCCGACTTTCTTAACAGACTAATAGCTGAAATTTCTTATGTGTTCTAGCACACCTTATGAGGTAGGAAGGCTTAAGGCGTGTGATTTCATTACATGGCTTCCACACTGAAGAATTAAATAACTTTAAGTTTAAACACTTGCCTAACCCTTCCCATTTTAGAAAAATATAGGTTTCTTTCTGGCTGGCACATGCAGTCTTTGGATGTAGTTTGACAGAATCACAGTGGACCTCCATTACCTGAAGGGCAGGAAGTTATATTGTGGGATTTGCACATACTGTACAGGTGCCAGTGTATGACCACAGCTACCTGTGTTCTCTATACTCTCAAGTACCAGTAAGATTTAACTTAGAAGGTAAGTAATAAGTAACTGCCAGGCAAAGAGCCTTGCTGCAAGTGCTGAGACAAGACCAGTCTGTGTTCTGCTTTGCCTCTATGGTATTTGTGCAGAGCTGTATTCAAGCGGTTCAGGTTACAGACCTGAGCGAGCGCTTCCTACTACCATAAAGTAGAACAAAACGTTCCAAAGCTCACAGCCATCCTTCAGGAGTACTCATGGCTTGAGCAAAAGCAACTGAACGTGTTCAGTAAGAATGGCGCTGAACCATCTGCAGCCTTATTGACAACATAAAAAGTTTCCTCCTTACATTTCACTTGGAGAGTTGATGCTTTACTCCCAATGCTGACCCACTCCACACCCCTAAAATGAACACCCTTGTCTTGCAGTATGTTCCAGTGGATATGGAATCTAGTAGGGTTCAATATGGCACAAACATGGCACACGCGGTGCAGTGATCCCTGCTTCTCGTGAGCGCATGCTGGCAGATCCGGTCACCTTAGTAAAGGATGCAGCAGTAAGAGACACTTCTAGCCACTCCAGCAGCTTTGCTGGCCAGGCCATGAGGCATGTGCAAGAAATCCTGTTAACATCTCACACATTTAATTAAGCATGAGATGATGACATTACTTGGGTCAACTATTAACTGCCCCTGTGTGGCCGCCTCGGCTCGCTGGGTGCTTGGGGGATGGGCAGAAATGCTTTGGGTGCTGAGGAACACAGCAGAGCCCAGGTCCCCACTACCATCTCGGTCAAGCTTGTCCGATGCAGCAAAACCCAACATGGCACCGTTGGCTGTGTTGCATGTTTGTGGAAACAAACCTGTGATGTGCCTTCCTCACTAGTAGCATCATCTTCCGTCCCCATCATGTGGGTTTCTCTCCTGTTCTTTAAAGAATGATATACATAAACCATTTCTCTGCGAATTTCATCCTAAAAGACAGCAGGAAGAAAACGGTTACATATGATCCACACCCTCAAATTCATCTCACTCAAGTGACAATGATGTTAGCGCCTTAATTCTGGAGTCCACTATTACATCACTGAAAGCAATTCACCTTCCTAACCGAATGATCCAACAGCCATTTAGTACACAGCAGTAAGGCAGTCTCCAAAGCATCATTGAAAATTTATTTACAACCTACAATCTCCTGCCTCATACTGCCTCTACTAGACTCACAGGACCGATGCTGTACAGAAAACATGCCGTCTAAGGGGAACCTCCTAGAAGGGCTTCACAAAGGAGTGTGCATCAATAAATTTCCATTCTGATACTGATCCGTCTCTTAAAAAACCATATTCTTGTTATCATTCCTTGGTGAAAGGTGTGCAAACAAATTCAGAGCTCTGGGCAGGTCTCATGCCAAATTTGTGGGCATGTGTCTTGCATGTGTGCTGTCATTCAGGACTTATCTGTATGATATCAGAAGGCAAGGTGGCCAAAAAAAAGTTTCCAAAACCTACACAGTCTCACAACAATACGAACACAAACAAAATGGAGGAGAAAAAGTTATGGTATGTTTTTCTTAGAGGGAAACATTTTACTCATGCTAAAAAAATTGTACAAGATCGTCTGTCCCATCCCACACCCCCCCCTTTTTTTTTAAGACAACAAAAAGCACTTCTACAACGTCATACTAAAACC